TCCATCTCCAAGCCCATGTCATAAATCCATCTAAATTCATCTCAATAATCCATCTGCCAACCCCATCTCATAAATCCATCCCATAAATCAGCTCCAACCCATCTCATCAGCCCAGCGCGCCCAGAGACCGGCGCCCAGAGACCGGCGCCGCGCGCCACGTGCCGCGCCACGTGACCCCCCATCGCACATCGCGGCGCCATCCAAAAAACTTCCCTCCTCCACAAACCTACTTCTTTTTCCACCCCACATCATGGCCGGCGACCCCTTTCTCTCGGACCCGGCACGCAAGCGCAAGCGGCCCGCCCGCGGCGCGCCCGGCGGCAAAGGCAGCCGCGGCAACGCCCGCGCCACGCGAGACTCCGACATCTCCAGCGGCTCCGAGGACATGGACTCAGACTCGGACAGCACACACAAACACGAGCGCGACGACGGCGACGTGTCCTCCGGCGAGGAGTTTGCCGAGGAGAACGCGGCCGACAAAAGACGGCGGCTCGCCAAGCAGTACTTGCACAACTTGAAGCAGCAGCAAATCCAGGGCGACGACTTCGACGCGCAGGACTTGGACGACGAGCTCGTGGCGCGGCGGCTCCAGGACGACGTGGCGGAAAACAGGGGCAAGATGTACAAGATGCTCGGGGCCACGGTCGCGCAGCAGGAGGCGTCGCGGCGCGTGCTGACCGCGCGCGTCGGGCTGAAGAACGTGACCGGCGTGGCCGTGCACTACCCGCACGTGTACACGGTGTCCAAGGACATGGAGTTGGTCAAGTGGACGGCCGGGCGGCACGGCAAGCCGCGGCGCGCCAGGCACTGCCGCGGCGGGCCGCGCTTCGCCGCCGTCGACGCCAAGAACCCGGCCGCCAACCACCACCACGGCGCCATCAACTGCGTGGCCGCGTCGCCCGACGGCCGCTTCGTGGTCACCGGCGGCCAGGACGCGCGCCTCGTCATCTGGGCGCTGGAGAGCCTCGCGTGCTTGAAGGTGTTGCCCACGCGCGCGCCGGTCACCGCGCTCGCGTTCCGCCGCGGCTCGGACCAGCTCTACGCCGCGTGCGCCGACTTGCGCATCCGCACGTACTCCGTGGCGCAGCACGCGCAGTTGGAGACCTTGTACGGCCACCAGGACACCATCGTGGGCATCAGCGCGTTGGCGCGCGAGGGCTGCGTGTCCGTGGGCTCGCGCGACAAGACCGCCATGTACTGGAAGATCGCGGAGGAGACGCGCTTGACGTTCCGCGGCGGCGATGGCGACGGCGCCGGCAAGCCCGCCAAGCCTGGCAAGCCCGCGGCGCCGCTCCACTGCGAGGGCTCCATCGAGGCCGTGGCCATGGTGGACGAGACGCACTTCGTCACGGGCTCCGACAACGGCAGCGTGTCCTTCTGGTCCTTGGGCAAGAAGAAGGCGCTCCACACGCAGCGCTTGGCGCACGGCGTGGTGCCGCCGCCGCCGCCGGCCCGCGCCAGCGCCGAGGACAGCGCCGCGCTTGCGGCGCGCCAGGTTCCGCCGAGCCAGCCGCACTGGATCACCGCGGTGTGGGCCGTGCCCTACAGCGACCTCTTCGTCACGGGCTCGCACAGCGGCGCCGTGCACTTGTGGCGCATCGACTCCGCGTCCTTCCGCACGTTTGCGCTCGTGGGCTCCGTCCCGGTCAAGGGCTGCGTGGTGCTGATTGACGGCGCGGAGCTCGCCGACCCGAAGAGGTTGGTCGTGTACATTGCCACCAGCAAGGAGCACCGGCTCGGCCGCTGGTTGGGGCCCGTGCCGGGGCGCAACGCCGTGGTTTCCGTGGAGTTTGACCTCTAGCTGGCGGTGGGCTTGTCTCTGTCTCGTTGGACTTGTCTCGGTCTCGCTGGGCTTGTCTCTGCCTCGCTGGGCCCCGCTCTTGCCTCATTGGGCTTTTGTCTGCTCGTTGGGCTCCGCTCTTGCCTCATTTGGCTTGTCTCTGCCTCATTGGGCGTGTCTCTGCCTCATTCGGCTCCGTCCCTGTGGGCCGGCTGCGGCAATGGCAAGCGGTGTCCAGCCGCCCCGCCCTTGCTGCCCAGACCTCCTCTGATGCGGCGGGGCTCCGCATTTCAAGACGCCCGCACCGTTCCGGCCGCGGCTCCCGCTCGTGCCTTGAGGAGCGTCGGTCCCGAGGGCCTGCCTTCGGTGAGAGGAAACATAGTATTATAGATTGGTGGATGCAAGGCTCGGCATCAGCGCACATCAACGGGCGTTTCCTGTAGTGGGCATCGTCTGGTACATAGAACCGCACGCCAGTTCTGCGTCGCCCAAGCGACCGCTCACGCTTCGTACTGGCCCGTGTGCTCGCGGCATGCCTCGTTTGCTCGGTTCCTCTGTATCTCCTTGCCGTGTGGGGGTTCGGTGCTGCTGGTTGGCTGGGCGTTTTTGGCCACACGTTCCTGCTCATGCTCTCCATGGCTGTCAACCAAAAACACCCTGGGCCTCTGAACAAAACACCCCGGGCCTCGGGAAAAAACACCCCGGCCTCTGGGAACTTCCCAATCCCGCGTATGATGCTGTTTCGTGGGGCCGCCGCTTCTTGGGCTTGCTCGTCAAGCAGCAATATGATGTACCTAGCCCTGCTCTCTTCATCCACAATATATAGTATACCTTCTGGAATCACCAGATGTCCACGAAGGCTAGTTCCGGTGCACCATAAAGTTCTATGGCCTTGAAAGCATAGGTAAGAACATCCGCTCCACGCTCCAAAGTATCTGCTAGCGGCGAGCGCCCGTTTCGCTTCTTTCGCCCATCGAGCCTGACGAGCATCATAGACCATATAATGAATCATCCCCAACCATAGCATTCGAGCTAGCACTTCCGGCAGTCAACGTTGCCAGAGCCCACCTTTGGACTGGGCGGTCTTCTCAATCAACCTCGGCCATCATGGCAGCCTGCTTGGGCCTTCCATCCTTAGAGCCAAAGCCGCCAAGTTCCCCAAGCAGAAGCACAGATCTCTTGGGAAGAAAGAAAGTCTCTTTTGATATTTCTCCTCACAGTGTTCCACGGGGAAGGACTTGAATCTCACCGTCCATGAAACTGACAAATGCAGCGGGCTGCTTCTTGCCCACTGTTGACCATTTCGCAGCCATTCAAAAGGTTTGTTTGTGTTTGGTGCCTCCCTCTGAATTAGACAGTCCTATTGCGATGCATGAAGCTTCGCTCACTCGTCTTTGGCCGGTTCTCAATCCGAGTCCTGATTCCATATGCCCGGTTGCGAAACCCTCGAAGCCATAGTGAAATTCCTCTGTCGGCCACAGTATTTACTTTGAAGAGGCAATTTAACCTCGAAGCCATAGCCACACCTCTGTCGGCCACATTACTCGGTTCGAAGAGACGATCCAACGGCAACCCGCAGACGCGGGATTGGGGCCTCTCCAAGAGTGCAGCCAGACTTCCAAAGCAGGCTGTACTTTTCTGAAAAGCAAGACTTCACTTCACCAAGCGTGCGTTTCTACAAAGACCAAATCACTCAGCCTCAGGGCTGTTGGTTCTATACATTCTGAAAAGCACTGCGGCCCGCTCGGCTCATCATAATACCCCGCCGCACAACGGGCCCGGCAACCGCCTACTGTTCCCTGTTCAATCCTCGGATTCTTCTAAGTAGTATACAGTTTTGGGTGCCGTGGTGGCAGCAGACAGTCTCAGAACGCCGCCTCGTCGTCGCCAGCGTCGCCCATGTCGTCGTCTCCGTCGTCGAAATACTTTTCTGCGTTGTAGTCGTCGTCGTCCTCCTCCTCAAACTCATCGTCAAAGTCCTCCTCCTCGACGTCCTCCTCGTTCTGTTGTGCGTTGGGATCTGCGTCGAGGTCCTCGGCCAAGCTCTTCAATTTCTCAAGCATCGCCTCGGCACTCTCGCCCTCCTGCTGCACGGCAAGCTGCGCAAACCCGCCGTCGGTCTTGTATGAAGAAAGCAAGAGCTTCTTCTTCTTGTTGGTGATCCCCATCACCGAATAGAGCTCTTCGGGAAACATCCCGAGTTGGTACGGGTACTCGTCGATGGACCGCGTGACCTTCTTGACTTTTTTGTACCGGTCGGAATACCGCTCGATGGAGTCGCCGGCGGGCTTTGCGCTGGTGCCCTCCGCCGGCCCGGTGTAGAACGGGCCGTCGTACAAAAGCTTTGCCAATGCGAGTGCTTGTTTGGCACACAGCTCCTCGCTTGCAGATAGTGGGCCGTGGACGGGGAGCTCGAGCGTCGGGCCCTCGGTTTCCTGGCCCTGGGAAAGCACGTCGGCATAATCTAGGCCAAACGGCAAGAGCACCCGGTTGGCCGACTTGTTTTTGTAGGACATGAGGAGCGAACCGTGGGGGAGGAACAGGCCCTGGGTCGCTGAGATGAGCGATGCGATGGACGCGGTCACGTGACCGCCCGGGCCTCGCTGGCCGCCCCGGCGGCGGTGGCGGCGCCGGCGTGTGGCGGTGCATTCTATGGTTTCGGCTGTGTTTCAAAGGCGGCACTGTGAAACAGGGCGTTTTTTGGGGGTGGTGCCCGGCCGGGCCGAAAGTGACAAGTCTAGCTGACGTGGCTGCGCGAGCTTTGGGTGCGAAAGTTCGAGCTGTTTGATCTAGGATATGCATGGGTATCTCCGGAAGACAGAGGTGTGGGCTTCCAGGGTGGCTTTTCACCTGATTCCACTATTTGATTGGGTCTGGGGTTTTTGTGATTTCCGTGGATGTTTTCTTTTATTAGTTGTGTATTGAACATGTTGTGGGATGTGAGTCGTGTTTCCTTATTGGTTTTTCAATTTTTTCACCAAGTACAAATTACTCATTTTTGAATAAATGCCGAATTTAAAATCAAAATGCCGGGCTTAAATTTTGCTGAGGTTTACGAAGATAGGAAAGAGAGAGCCAGAGTTTGAGAAAGCGCTTGTTGAAACGTCACTGGCTGTACGTTGTTTTGTCGTTAAATTTTACTTTTTTCAACGGTCAGCACGGATGCGGCCGCCAGGGTAGACCTAATATGATAGCCGCGAGGAGGAAATGCGCGAATCGAGATTGCACGAGACTACAGAACACAGATCGAGTCAATATTCGAGTCAGTGAATGTACATTGATTAAGCAGTGGTTGAACCAGAAATCGAAATAGCAATGACAATCAAGAACTCGAATGGAGTGATTAAATGGATTGATTAAATGGAGTGATTAAATGAAGTGATTAAATGGATTGATTAAATGGAGTGATTAAATGGAGTGATCAAACCAAATATTCAAAACAAGCAGGTGAGCCAAAATCAAACTCAACACTCAGCTCCAGCACTCTAATCCTGTGCGTGAACTGAGTATCCGATTTATGTAATTACACGCAGCACTTTATTAACTAGGCAGATCAAGCACTCAAGCGTTCGCATTAGGAATCGTATCGAGGACTTGAAAAAATTTGGACTGCAAAATCAAATCAGCGCTCTAATTCAGTATAGAAACAACCAGTAATCGGATCATGTAATCTCAAACATTCAGCTCAAGGACTAAATCAAGTGATTGAATCACCTAATCCAGCCAAATACTCGATCTAGAAATGAAATAGGGACTTCAGGCTCAAGCACACAAATCACGTAATCTAATCAAGATTTCACGTGAACCATTTCCGTTCTCAACAAGCGTTTGAATTAGGAATTGAGTTAGTGATCAGCCGGATCAAGCACTCAAAGAAATTTTGGTGCTTGACACTCACGAAGCAATATTAAGCCAAAAACACATTGGCATTCTGGCAACTCTCGACAGCTTTGGAAAATGGTGCACGATTTGACAGAGACTAGTTTTTGGCAAGTGCGCTGTTTATTAACGAGAGTGCATGGGAGAGAACACTGGTTGGATTATTTCTAAAACCATGTTCGGATGCTCCCGATGGCTTTCCTGGTATGGGTCCATCACCTCGTCCATGGTTCCTTATGATGTTAACGAGAAGTGAAAGAAGAGAGGGCCTGTTTACAAGACATGAAAGAAGAGAGGGATTGTTTACAAGACGTGAAAGAAGAGAGCTTTCTTCTATGTGCTTCCAGAATGTTTCCGACGGCCCAGGGTTTTATGATGGAAGTTGCATTTGTTATGACCGGTAGCGTTCCAATTCTTGCCGTGTTTGCCGGAACCTCCTCCAATGGCACTGTTTGAATTGAACGCCCCCAGTTGTATGAAATTATTTCAGGATTTCTAACAGCCGTACACGGAGCTTTCCAAACTAGAAACGTTTTGTTACTTTTCCCCTTGCATATCCTCATTGCCTGGACCACGAAATACAAGCGGGTGTTCTTGGATCAAGTAGATAGGTCATTGAACAGCTATGTCAGCTCAATGAAGCACTGAGGTCGAATACGGGGTACGAAACTCATGTGTTACAATCGAGGACTTCGGCACATCATGTGTTTATTCGAGCAATAAAACCAATACTCCAGTACAGAGTCACGTGTTTATTCGAGCAATAAAAGCTATACTTCAGTATAGAGTCATGTGTTTGTCCAAGCAATCCACCTAATGCTCAGCATGGAATCTTTTTAGCAAGCAGTCATATCAAATACAGCAGTACTCGAATCAAGAATTGGAATGAGGGGCTGAGGCAGCAGCTGAGTAAAGAATGAGCTGAGCACTCGTCTCATACTGAATCACATTAACCGGTGGTCTAGCCAAGCACCCCCATCGAGCAAGCCGAGTCATCGGGTCCAGCCATCAAAAAAGGCACCCCGAACTCTGTAATTCAAACCAGTCCTCGGATCCAGCCCTCGGATCCAGCACTGTCCGGAAATTAAAGTATGGTGGTCCCTGGTGGAATGCCTTGTCGCATGCCGGACCCGCAGAACTCGGGCCTTCATCAGACCACCAGCTTCTAGCGCCGCATGATCGCACGCCATTCTCCCCGGACCAAAACAGCCCGAATCAGACGAAAACAAAAGCGGCGCCAGGCACGTGCTGGCCCAAGCCCATGTTTGCAAGCGGCCGCGTCAGTTTCCACGTGTCCTTCCATTCCAGATGGGGCTTTAAGCTTTTCCGCGAATTGCTCAGCCGATATTAATATATGCTCAGGGCTCGGCCGAGCTCGGCACCACACTGTATCATTGTATCATACCGGAAGATTTACTGGGCAGTGCTGGGCACGGCAAAAGCCCGGAGATATGTGCGGGCCCACAGAATATAGGGGCGGGAAATCCGAACCGACGCCCGGCAAAAACATGCCCTCGTCGCCATGCGCTTACGGGGCCCGCCCAGTGGCGTGTTCCAGCGAGCCGCACGCGGCGGGCCTGCACAGTGCGCGGGGAGATAAGAGTCTGGCAAGCCGGCCTGGAACCCCCCGCCAAAAGCACATGGATACGTCACTTGCGCACGGAAAAGACCGGTATGCTGCCCGGCCACCCGCTGCAGCCTTTTTGCTTGGAACAAGAAGCAGTGTCCCGCCGAGCGCCGGGAAATTGCGTGACCGCGTAAGCGCATACCCCAGCACCGGCCTGCCCGGCGCGCCGCGCATGCGCATACAGGACCCAGGCGACGTTGGGCGAACTCTGGAGCCTGCTATAAACCGGGTATAAAACACAGCATATCCCCATGCGCCGGCTCCTCTCTTTTTCCCCATCTACGCTTGCTTTCAGCAGAACACGTGCCACGCCCATAACCAGTGCCACGACCAGAACCAGTGCCTCGACCAGAAGCACCCGAAACAAAAGCACCACAAACACCACCACCACCAACACCACCAACACCACCAACACCCCCATCATGGCCATTCCCCAGACCCAGAAGGCGGTTGTTTTCGACACCAACGGCGGCCCCTTGCAGTACAAGGACATTGCCGTCCCCACGCCCAAGGAAAACGAAATCTTGGTCCACGTCAAGTACTCGGGCGTGTGCCACACAGACCTCCACGCCTGGAAGGGCGACTGGCCCTTGGCCACCAAGTTGCCCCTTGTCGGCGGCCACGAGGGCGCGGGCGAGGTCGTGGCGTTGGGCAAAAATGTCAAGGGCTGGCGGCTCGGCGACCTTGCCGGCATCAAGTGGTTGAACGGCTCGTGCCTCCAGTGCGAGCTCTGCCAGCACGGCAACGAGCCCAACTGCGCCGAGGCCGATCTCTCCGGGTACACGCACGACGGCTCGTTCCAGCAGTACGCCACGGCCGACGCCATCCAGGCCGCGCGGCTCCCCCAGGGCACGGACTTGGCGCAGGCGGCGCCCATCTTGTGTGCCGGCATCACCGTGTACAAGGCGTTGAAAACCGCGGCCTTGCAGGCGGGCCAGTGGGTGTGTATTTCCGGCGCCGGCGGCGGCTTGGGCTCGTTGGCCATCCAGTACGCCACGGCCATGGGCTACCGCGTGGTGGCCATTGACGGCGGCGACGAGAAGCGCGACTTCTGCCGCTCGTTGGGCGCGGAGCAGTTCGTGGACTTCACGTCCAGCAAGGACATTGTGCGGGACGTGGTGGCGGCCACCGGCGGCGGGGCGCACGACGCCATCAACGTGTCGGTGTCGGAAAAGGCCATTTCGCAGTCGTTGGAGTACCTCCGCCCGACCGGCGTGGCCGTCTTGGTGGGCTTGCCGGCGGGGGCCAAGGTGGTGGCGCCCGTGTTCGAGGCCGTGGTCAAGTCCGTGAGCATCAAGGGCTCGTACGTGGGCAACCGCGCCGACTCGGCCGAGGCCATCGACTTTTTCTCGCGCGGCTTGATCAAGTGCCCCATCAAGATCGTGGGCTTGTCGGAGTTGCCGAAGATCTACGAGTTGATGGAGGCCGGCAAGATCTTGGGCCGGTACGTGGTGGACACCTCCAAGTAGGATGCAATGTATGTAGTAACGAGGAGTTGGGTTGAGTGTCTGTAGGGGGATGCAGGGAGGTTGATGGGATTGGGAGGGACTATGAACAAGGGGACGCGGGCATGTTCGTTTGGCGGGGGCAGGGGTCCCAAAAGCCGGGCTGGATCAACATGTTCCAAGCCGGTGGGCACGAACATGCCAATGGGGGAGTCCTTGTTGGTTCTTGGTTCCTTCTTCCGTCATGATTCCTTTTTGGTTCTTTTTGGTTATTCATGGTTCCTTCTTGGTTCCTTCTTGGTTCCTTCTTGTTTCCTTTTTGGTTCCTTCTTGGTTCCTTCATGTTCCTTCTTGGTTCCTTCATGTTCCTTCTTCCTTCCTTCTTCGGAGATGTCGATTGGCACATCAACACACCTCTCAACACCCACGGCAGAAAAGCTTTGTTCCATACTCCTCAATCCCTTGCCCAAAAGCGACTTCAGTTCTCGACAAAGCTTGAATGCCATAATGCACTTTGCCTGTGAGAAGACGCATCTTCGTCAATCAATACAGGGGCGCTGATTGATGCAGAAGATAAAGGAGAACAGTCCAATATATGCTGGCTGGCCCACCACACCAAAGCAGCCTGTTCTGGACACAATGCTTCTTTCATGTTCCACCTGCGCTTATCTACAGAATACAGACCTTCAAAACACCCAGGCTATGTAGTCTTCAATAGCCGTGGCGTCACTTTCGATAGTAAAAAGGCAATAGTGAAACGAAAAAGAGATAGCACTCTGAGGGATGGAGAGAAACAGATGGAGAGATGGAGAAAAACAGATGGAGAGATGGAGAAAAACAGATGGAGAGATGGAGAGAAACAGATGGAGAGATGGAGAGAAACAGATGGAGAGATGGAGAGGAAAAGAATCTGCCTGTAAAGCAGTGCCTAAATATGAAGCATGAAGTGTTTTAATTGACCATCATGCACCCAGGAACGACATGCGGCAAGAGATGTCTCTAATGAAAGAAGGGAGCATCAAGTCCGTCGAAATCCGGGGCAGTCCGTTTGGTCGGAGACTCCTGATGATGAGCCAAGCCGGCACAACCAGAAGCATACCCAATCAAAAATGAGTTAGGTTGCAAAACCAGACATGGCCAGGCACAGTTGAATGCCAGAAAAAACTCGAAAAAAAAACTATACGAATAATGAAACCAGAACAGTAACATCGCGACCAGGTGGAATTAGGCATGGGTGAGATCAGCAACACGCCATGGGGATCAAGTGAATTCAGAAACATGCAATCGGCGAACGGGACAAAGCTGGGGAAAGGATCACCACGCACCAATTGAAAAATGGCAAAAACACACCATGAACCACCTCTGTTGTACTGAAAGCGGTTTCCGGCCGGCTCTGTAGCATCACGTGACGTGCTTCCCGGCCAGTCTCCAGGACCCTTCTTGTAATATCTGGATCCCCTGGGCTGAACCCTAAGCGCAGTCCTCAAGTTCGACTTAAAAGTTGTTCCACATCTGTCCAAGCATATGTCCAAAAAGTGTCCAAATAGTGTCTATTATGTGTCCAAATGCGTGTCCAAATATGTGTCCAAAGATGTGTCCAAAGATTTGCCAGATACATGCAAAGTAATTGCGCACCAACATCTTAATTGAATTTGCCTCAGACAAGTGGCCAGAAGAAATGCTGATTCAAGTTTTTCCACAACGGCATCTGTCACTATCCCCCACCCAAACATGATTTTTTTGGCTTTTGAAATTGCCTCCAGACAAGCTGCCGCCAATCACATGACCGCCGCCTTCCCGATCTGGCAGTGCACCGTTTTTCCCGATGCGATCTGTTAATAAACAAACCAGCACGTAGCGGCCACAACTAAACAGAACCGAAAAATCAAAAAAAAAAAAAATAATAATAGCACTCGCGTCCTGGGCCCCCGCTTTGTGTTGAGGCCGCATGTAAGTCAACACGCCAGATTCCGCTGCTCATCCCAAACCTTCGAGCATCTCCAGGAAAAACTGACCCCACAGCCTCGCGCCCTACCTTTTGCAACTACTTGCATGAGGAGCATCTCCAAGCCACGCTCACTTTAGATTTCTTTTGCAGAAAGCCGCCGACGAGCCGCTTGCTCATAACAGTAGAGAGTCTTTTTGAGGTAGAGCAAACAAGGGGTTAAAAAGCAAATTGGACCAGCCCATAGATCAGAACAGACTAAAGGGAGAACTCCAATTTGATCAAAGCGTTTAGGGTAGAACAGGTCAATCCACAAGAGCCGGCAAGAGATAACTCATTGAACTAAGCGGGTGTGGCTAATCAAGGACCGAGGTTAATCAAGTAGCGTTTTCTTTTCCGATCTCGTTCATACAAGTGAAGCTAGAAAAAGCCAGGCGATTCAACCCAGTGCTTTGGTCTAACAGGAACAGAACAAACGCCCACGGACAATCGAAAAATACGACCAGGCATAAGATCAGACAAGAAGAACCGATCAGATCATCTACTAAGATCAGAAGAATCGAGCGGATAATCGACCAAGACAAGAAGAAGCGATCAGATCATCTACTAAGATCAGAAGAATCGAGCATATAATCGACTAAGATCAGAAGAATCGAGCGGATAATCAACTAAGTTCAGAAGTACCGATCAGATCATCTACTAAGACAAGAAGAGCCGATCAGATCATCGACGAAGGCACGATAAATCGATCAGACTTCGACTAGATCATCGACAGAGATCAGACAAGAACGACCAGATCGTCGTCCATACATCCAGCCGGAAGCACCAGCCATCCCCCAAAAGCAAAAGAATCCGGCCAGAGCTCAAGCGATCTACTGAACCCGGCAGCTCCCCCGTTCTAGTCACCCAGAAAACACTCTTTTCTACCACTTTCCCTCTCACATACTCTCGCACACACCCTCGCACATACCCTTTCCCATGGCAGACTTTCCCGAGACTGCCGACGGCACGTTGGTTGTCATGGTGTGCCGTGCAAGGCACCTCCCAAACAGGCGCAAACTCGACAAACAGTCACCCTACGTGCTTCTTCGAATCAACACCGTGGCACAGAAAACACCGGCGCATTTCCGCGCGGGCCAGACGCCCGAATGGACCCACGAAATCCGGTTCCAGCTTTCCAGGGACCGCAAGGCCGTGATGCGGCTCGACGTGTTGGACGAGACCAAGGCCGACCCGACGCCCATCGGCGGCACGGATATCGACTGCGCATCCGTCTTCCTGAACCCAGCAAACCTCCAGGAGTCCGGCAAATACATCCTCGACGGCTGGCACGACTTGTCCTTCAAGGACCGCTACGCCGGCAAGATCTTCCTTGAAATGACGTTCTACCCGAGTGCGCCGATGGTCCCACCGAAGCTCGTGCACTCGGCCTCGGCACTTAAGCTTCTTCCCGAGGCTCCGGACGGCCCCGCAAACGACGACTTGCTCCGCCACCTGGCGCCCGCGGCCCCCACAGCGCCGGGCACGGCCGCCCACGACGTGTTTGTGTCGTCGCCGCCGCGAAAACAGCATTTCTTCCACTCCGCCGGGCCCGAGCCGGCGCCGCCGGACGCCACCGTGTTTGTGGAGGGCACGCGGCCAAAAACAAGCCGCCTAGCCAAGCTCAAGGACAAATTCATGGCCAAGGAGCCCATCACGGGGCTCTGGGCACACGACGCCAAGCCTGGCCCGAGAAGACGGTCGCACGGCGATTCCGGCGAGTCGCTCATGCCTGCACCCACCCCGCTAGACAACTTCGAGGAGCTCCTGTTGGAGATGGGGATCTATCCGCCGACGGAGCAGAACAGCAACGGGGCCTCGGCCCGCCTTCCGCTGTCTTCTGCGCCGCCACCGCCCCCACATTCCGCATCCGGAGATGTGTCCGTGGACACGGCGCTCCCGCTCCTATACAACGGCCGGTTTTCCCCGAGCAAGTCGCCGGAGCGGCCGGCCAACATGCAAACCGCATCCCTGCCGAGCCCGCCGAAAAGCCGCCGCAAGCCGCCGCCAGGCGTGACGGACCACTCGCCGTTGCCGTTCTTGGACACCACCAACATCCCGTTTTCCGCAGACAACTTCCAGCTTGACGCCGGGCCCAGCGACTTGCTCCCGACCAAAGTGTTCCACATGGACCGGCCGGTGAAGTCGCTCACGGTGCTGGACACGGACCGCGAGAGCCACCCTGTCAACCCGAACGAGATCGATCCTCGCTACTACGCCCCCACCCCCTCGGAACACTTGTCTTCCAGCTCGAATTGGCAGAATACGCCCAAGCGCTTCGAGGAAAGCGCCACGCACGACTCGGGGTACCTAGGCGAGGGCTCGTGGAGCATGCCTAAGAACCCGAAGGGCAAATTCTCGCCGTCTGTGTTCCAGAGGATAAATCTTGAGAACGCCGGCGAGGAAAACAAGCCGCCCGTACCGCCCAAGATCCCTAGCGGCTTATCAGAGAAGGAGTACTACGTTTTGGACAAGGACAAATACTTGAAGGACATCAACGGGCGGCGGTTTTGACGGACACCAAGACTCGCGGGTTCTATGACTACGGGATAAATGAGAAAGTTTCTTCCTGAAGACAAACCCCAGCTGAGCCTGCCTGATGACATCCCAAAAGTCTGCTTTAAAGATGGGCTAAACAATGATGTGTGATTTGTGTGACTATTTTTTGAATGCAATCTCGGATCGACCAGCTATACCAGACACTAGTGTGTCTCCGAAAGGACGTGGACACGTGTGGGCGAAGGGAGTGACAAGATATTGCAACCTAAACTATACAAATGGCAAGCAATCCCAAAGCTCCCACGGCAAAGTGCGCCCTGGCCGCACCGCCGGTGCTTGTCCCGGTCTGTGTTCTGGAGGCACTACTGCCGTTTGTCCCGTTGCCCGAAGCGTAATTAGTGGACTGAGTGATTCTCACAGGGGTGATGGTGCGCTTCGCCTGGCAGCATTTTTGCCTGATCGAACCAAAAGGGGCCAGGTCTCCACCATCATCATCCCATGACACAGATGAAATGGCTGGAGACAAAGCCATTTGGCTGCGACTCATCTCTGCAACACTCGAAACAGACAACGCATCGAGACTCGGAGATTCTGGAGCCTGCATCGCCTTTGTTTCCAGAGCCGTGCTGGCCCGACTCATTGACGACCCGGTGACTGCCGATGACATAGTCACTGAAAGCCACAATAAGAAGGAATAGTTCATGATGATTCTTGGGCAAGTGTGGCTCCGTCCTGGATTTTTTGGAGAAGCTTCCCAGGCAAACCGGAATTCCCGGCCCTTAAATTCTCGAGGCCTGGCGGCATGTGTCTCACGTAGATGGTTTTGCCGTGGTTTATTATACTTTTTGTGCAGGTGGAAACGGTATGGCGGTAAACCATTGTCGCTGTATTAAAACGCTCACAATAGCTCGATAGACACCCTGTGCATGATTGGGTGTTGCCTCGCGCCGGCATTAGTTGGCGGAATATGAGCAGAATTTAGTTTCCTTTGAAACTTGTGACCTTGCTTCAAGATCTCTAACCGAAAACCTCCTTGAGGCATTTACGGATCTCTAAGCTGCTTTCTTGAACCTTAGCCTAATTAGCGAAGACAGACGTCCTAGATCGGCATACAATAGGTGGCTAGCATGAGAGATTCAAATAGCTCATTGTCAATGCCCCGATGTTTACTCCAATCCCCAAGAAGAATCCGCTCGTTTGAGCACCCGTGGGGTTTCTTTTAAAACGTCCAGTGGGAAATCTGCTCAACAATGTGCATAGACCTGTAGTCGGCTAATTTCAGAGTCGAAACAGATCTTCATAGAGCATTTTTCCTTTCAAGAATTTGGGCCCCCCAAAAATTTTCAAGTGAAAACACGTGCTCAATTGGGTACACGTCAGCAGGTTTTCTGGAGACTGCTGGACACATATTCTAATCATGACTTGATTCGTGAGCACCAGGCGAATAGACATGCGCAATTGGTGCCGTCGGAGAAGAGCTGTTAGCTGTCAAACGGAATATTGTATATACAGAAGGAAAAGACGCACGAGCAAATTGCAAGATCCCGGTATGGGGGTGCCATTATCCAGCGCCTCAATTGTTTATGGGCCTACAAAGACGTCTAATAGGTATGACATTCGAAGTTTCATATTAAAGATGCATGGTCGGTGGGAAACAGTGCGCTTAGCCGCATACTTGGGGCATGTTCCTTAGGCACAGTATCCCAAGATAGGTGTCTATATATAACAAATGGAGCTTTTTACATAATCACAAGAGCTTCAGAAGTTCGACAGTTTGCGGATCTTGCGCTTTCGGAAATCGATTGTGCGTATATCTGCATACGTATTATTAACTAAACCCAGCGAACGCCAAACTCTGGGACCAATCGACCAAGCCAACTTACCTTCCAAAAAAAGCACAAAAAAAGCACAAAAAACCCACTAGAAAACCACAAAAAATCACCACAAAAGAACCAAAATGAATAAAAAAATGGATAAAAAAGACCAGGAAAAATCCACCAGACACGCAGAAACGGCAAACAGACCAATCTCACGTCCCGTTCCCATCTGGCAATACCGCTGGGGCCTCGCAGCCGGGACTAAGGTCGCACGATATTTGCCTGCACACGACCGAAAATTTTTGTTACACCTGAGTGTGGCCTTACATAGTGACCAGCTCCCAACATCACATAGTCGAAATGCTCAGGACAGCCACCCGAAATATCTCCATCAAGAGCTTGCCGCACGAATTGCAGCCCAAAAATAAGTACAATGCTGTGCGGTCGAAATTTAACATGAAGCCCGTCCCAACACAGGGTCTCATATACAACCCGCCAGCATCCATGCCAACGGTGAAAGAAACCCCGCGTGCTTTTTTGCCCCCCAACGACCCCCGCTTGAAGCTCTTGGCGGAGAAATTCAAGACATACACACCCGAAGAGCTCGAGGAGATGCCTGTGATCTACGCCACCAAAAAAGACAACAGCTTGACGCCCGAGATTGTGCAAGAAATCATAGCATTGAGGAGCGAAGATCCAGATAAGTGGAGCATTGCCAAGTTGGCGGCCAAGTTCAGCGTGGACGCCAAGAAAGTCAATGTCATCACGGGCTCCAGCAAGGAAAGGCAGCAGAAGGTGCTTGCGCAGCTTGCCGAGCAGCAAAGCCAGTGGACGGGAAAGAAACGACTCGCGAGGGACGACAGGGTCAAGAGAAAGCAGATGTGGTTGAGGAACGAATTCTAACTTGTATATATTAGTTTTGCATCGATCGTATAAGGAATGTACGTGTACCGGAAACGGATGGGCGCCTGGCCCCGGGCCCCGGCCGCCCTGGCGTATGAATTTTGCCCTACAAACTGTCCCTGTCCTGTTGCATGCGGAGCTCCCTTTCGAGCTCCTCTAGTGTTGATACCTCGAGGTCCTCGAGCTTTTCCTGGATGTTCATCTTGAAGCTGATCACATCCTGGAGCATCGCGACGACCGTCTCGTGCAACTGCTCGCGCTCCTGCTGGAGACCGTACCTCGACTCCTTGAGCATGATCTTCAATTCCTTGTTGCGGGTCTCGAGCTCAATCACGCCTTTGTTGGCGTGTATGCGCATGGCCTGCAAGTCCCGCTCGAGCTTTTCGCTCTGCGCCGATCGGATTGCGCTGTCGCTCACCATGGTCTCGTAGATCTCGTCCTGCGTGTCCTTGAACTTCGCGACGCCAGTCTCCACAGTCTCTATTTCCTCCTGCTGCTCGAAAATCTTTTCGGACATCTGGTCCACGGACTCGATGAGGCGGATAGTCTCTCCCTGGACTCGTAGCAACTCTTGCTTTAGCTCCGACCTCATTTCCAAAAGCTTGATCTTCTCGAGTCTCACGATCTTGTTCAAGACGGCGTCGGGCTCAATGGCCAACGAGCCGTCACCAATCAAGTCGGAGTTGATGATAAGCTCATACCCGTCGCCCTCGCGCGACGGTATTCTCGATGTCATCGCATTGTACTGGCTCACAAAGCTTTGGAGGCTCTGTAGCGTCTGGTAGATGTCGCTCTCTTTCTGAGCCAAGATGTCCTTGAGGTCCTCGATTCTGTTGGACACGGTGTCGTAAAAGCGCGAGATCTTGTCCCTCTCCAAGTTCAACTGATCGATTTCGTTGATGGAGAACCCCTTTTCTTGGATGGCCTCTTCGTATGCCTTTTTCTGTGCCTCCAAGTCCACTAGGCGCAGCGCAGCACTGGAAATGTCGCCCTCCACCTGGTCCAAGATGGTTTTCCACTGTGCCTGTCGCTGCTTGACCTTGTGCATGTACTCGGAAAACTGGCGCAAGTCGTTTTCCAAAGCTTTGGATTTCTCCTGGGCCTCCTCGGCCTCGGAGAACTGCGCATTGACCGTTTCGAACTGCCCCGCGAGCGCTGCACAGGCGAGTCTCTTCTCGTCGGCCTGCTTGGAGAGATGGGAGCGCGCAGCGTCAAACTCGCGTTTCATGTCGTTGTAGTAGTCCGAGTAGTCCTCCTTCTGCTCTATGAATGCTGTGTACGACAAGAGGATGTACCGGATGAAGACGTTGTCGAAAACGTCGTCCGGCGCGATCAACGCGCTATCCTGGAGCCCCAGCATGTGCAAGTTGACCTTCACTAGCCAGTAGAGCATGCCGAGGAACACGGGCCAGTTCTGCCCGCCCACCGCGCTTATGGAGGAGCGGTTGATGCCGTCGAGGTACGGGTACCGCAAGATTTTTAGGAGGATAAACACCTCCGACTCCACCGAGCGCGTGAAGCGGTGCAGCGGGTCGAGTTTCCCGTAGAGGAACTGGAAAAGAAGCACGAAGTCCTTCTGCGTGGGCTGGCGCAACGTCTTGAGCGTGATCGCGTGGCCCGTCTGGAGCTCGAACCTGTTGCCGATGCAGAAGTCGTAGATTTCTTTCAGCACCAAGCCCTGGTAGTTCTTGTCGCGGAGCGGGCGCAGGTCTGCCCTTCGCTGGGCGCCTGTTTGGCTGGCCGTGGCGACATGTGACGGCGTGTATCCCTGCAGCGAAAACGGCGTGGCGCCTGCGTGCTGCGAGGAGTCGAGCGTGGGGCCGTTGGAGCCGGCTTGGAGCGATGCAGGGCCGCTGCCGCCGACCACACTGAGTCTCTTGTTCTGGGCCGGAGTCAGCAAAAGCGTCAGGCGCCGTTTCAGCGACTCCGGCACGTGATGCCGGGCGCCGGAGAGCGAGAGCCGCTGTGCTTTGCGGAGGAGCTGCGCTGCCAGCGGCGGGTGGTGGGGCTCGGACATCATGGGTTCGGGCCGCTTGGAGAGGCAATGTTTGTTTGTATGTGAAGATCTGTTGATACGCGAACATTGGGGTAGTGCGTGTGCAGGTGCGATGGTGGGCTGGGGCCGCCTGGGGGACTGCTTGGTTTTGGGTCTTTTTTTTTTTTTTCTTCGTGTTGTGTGTGTTTGTGTTGTCTTTGATTTATTTTGATTTGTTTTTGATTTGTCGCTTTGTCTGTGTGTCTATTTCTTTGTTGTCTCTTTGTCTGTCTTCCTTCTATCTCGTTGTTGTCTCTTTGTCTGTCTTCCTTCTATCTCGTTGTTGTCTCTTTGTCTGTCTTCCTTCTATCTCGTTGTTGTCTCTTTGTCTGTCTTCATTCCAATTACCTTGTTTTGTTTGTCTTTGTTTCCATCTTTTTGTTGCTCACCTCTTCACGGCTGCGTTACTTTTATGTTGAGCCCCATAATTTGCACCGCTCACCTTGGAATCCGCTGAGCGCTGGGGCGTGGGCGCGCACTAATAACTCGAAATTCCGCGGCCGGTTTCGGGAATCAGGTTTCGGGCGTCCCAGATTGGTGGGCGTAGAGGCATTGTCCATTTTCTTGGGTGGAGCTGGGCGGGCGTGGCTGGTCGGTGGTCTCACGGTGGGTTCTATGATGGTGAGGCACTTTTTGGTGAGGCACTTTTTAGTGAGGTGCTTTAATAGTGCGGTGCTTTAATAGTGAGGTGCTTTAATAGTGCGGTGCTTTAATAGTGCGGTGCTTTAATAGTGAGGTGCTTCAAAAGTGCGGTGCTTCAATAGTGAGGCGCTCTAGTAGTGAGGTATTTTGGTGGTGCGGTTCTCCTTTAGTAGTGCGGTTCTCTGTTCGAGGTTTCTTGATAGCGAGGTGCTCTTAGAATGGGCATGTCCATTCCGTTCCCAGCCTTGAACACGAGGAGGCGCCGTGTTGAATTCCCTCCCAGCTCACGGCGCAGAAACAGGATTCCGGGAACTCATTGTCATGGATCACGCGTGGCATCACTTGATCTGGTCATGCAATACCCAGAGCTTCATACAATTACATGGCTCCAAATCTGCCTTTGTAGACACGCCCCAACTTTGAGCAGCCCAACACAGTCAAATGGGTGCTGACCGTGGTGTTTGTCTGTGCCTGGGCGGGGCTAGAGACTAGTTTGCCACCAAAGGCGAATTGGCCTCTAGTAGCAGCTGAATTTTCTTCAATTCTAGGCTCTAGAACAAGCCCCAAATGTTTCGGTCTTCGTGGTTACGACTGAAATTGGCCTCTTGAAGCAGCTGAGTCTTCACTACTTCTTCACCACCTGGCCCTAGAACAAGCCCCGGATGTTTCGATCCTTGTGGTTACGACTGTAATTGGCGTTTTTTTTTGTTGCCGGAAAATAAAACTGGGTGCCCCGAGACCCCGGCCCAATCAACTAAAACGAAATATTTCATGAACATCGAGAACGCTCCTGAAAAGGGGCTGTGGAGCTCCCGGAAACATGGACTCAAACTAGGCCACGCGGCTTCAGCCACACATTGTGCCGTTCCATGAGCCGACAAGTATCCCCATTTCCAGGGCCCCTCTTCAATTGCACGGGCCCATGATATTTTGACACACCAAACTGCATCGGCACCGCCACTCGAAACATGCCAAAATCGCAGCTGGCACGGGGACTCCAGAGACGTATCTCTGACAGTTTAAGATTGGCCGCCTCTAAACATGAATACTATCATACTTGAAAATCGGACCGGCCTCTGAAGACACTGCATCGAAGTTGCAGTTTGGCCGCCTCTAGATATAAATCCCATCGAATATGAAAATTGGCCCGGCCCCAAACATATCCCATCAAAGTTGACATTGGCCCCCTCCTTCATATACCCCATCAAATTTGAAAACCAGCGCCGCTTCCAACGCTGTATCCCATCGATTTGAAATTGACCCGCCTCCAAACATATCCCACCAAAGCTGAAAATTGGTCCGGCTTCAAAAGGCATTTACCAAAGTGGAATTTTCCCGGCTTCTAAAGATGTGTCCCATAAAAGCTGAAGATAAAGGTCTTTAGAGACATGTCTCCAGCAAAGATGAAATTGGCCCGCGTCCAAAGATGTCCCATCAAAATTGAGAATCAGTGCCGCCTCTCAAGATGTATCCTATCAAGGTGAAGATTAACGTGGCCTCTAAGGATACTTCCCATCAAAGATGAAATTGACCCGGCCCCGAACATTTCCCATCAAAGTTGGCCCGGTTGAAGCATATCCCCTTAAAGTTCAAAATTCCCCCGCCTCTAGACATGTCTCCCATCAAATTTGAAAATTGGCCCGCCTCTAGACATGTATCCCGTCAAAGTTGCAAATTGGCCCGCGGCCGTCCGTGCAGGCCGCACCGCCGCTTCCGGTGCCGCACCACGGCAGGCCTGCACACAGGCGGCCCGAGAAACCTCCCCTCGTGGCAAGTCCTGCTACATGCCCCAGGTTCCACAACTAGGCCATCCATATTCCCCCCACCATTGTTCTGCCCGCCCACCCAGAACACGTCTTGTCGCTAATCTGCACGTGCCTTGCATACCAAAAATCCCCGCGAGGCTCTGCTCCATCAGCGCGTTTCTGCAGACCTTTCCAGCTTGCCGCCGCCCTTGTTTATTCTTCTAGGCAAAGAGGAAATCCGCCCACGGCCACCGCCTGCCGCCCCGAGTGGTACTTTTCCGCATAAGCAAAATCTGGCAGTGCCCATTTCCGGGACTTTCGCCAAGATTCTCGAGCATCCGTGTGTTCCATGTGCGGCTGCTGGCTTCCTACCAACCCCTTGTCCGCCTACACCCGCCCACCCGCGTTCCCTTAGTTTGCGTTTGTTTAGCCGTTTTTAGCCGAGCAACCAGCGCCCGCCCACCGCGTGTTTTTCTTGTCCAGCGCTCCGTTTGCGAGCCGCCGCAACTACTCCACGGACTGTTCAAGCGCCGTGCCCTAAGCTCCGAGACAGGCCCATTCCGACACAACAGGAGGACCACCCCCGCCGACGCCGTCGCCGAAGAACGCGACACAGACGCTTGCCCGCCCGCGGCCTTGCTGCCCAGAAACGCTGCTTTTTTCTGTGCCCAGAAACGAGACCAGCGCGCAAACACAGACACTTCCCTCCGCCGCCATGAGCACCCAGAACACGACGCCCACGCCGTCGCCAAACCCCCTAAAGCCCACAAGGGCCGCCACGCCGTCCACCCCGCCGGCGGCCAAAACCCGCAAACGCCTCCTGGTGGAGTTCTCGACGCCAGACCCCTCCCAAGACGTGCCCTTCAGCCCGGGCTTGAAACGCAGCAGTGCGGGCCTGTTGCGGTCGCTCCGCCGCCGGCTGAACGACGCGGCCTCGCCATACTCGGCCGCCAGCTTGCTCAAAACACCGGGGAATCCCGACTCCGACTCCGACGGGCGCGACACGCCGCGGCAGGCCAAGCTCATGAAAACACCCCAGTACTTCAGCCCGGGCCGCCGGCTTTTCGCCGAGGACCACAGCCCCAACAAGAAGGAGTTGGGCGAGATCAGCTCGCAGCTCAAGAGCCGGCTCAGCCTGGCGTTCGGCTCGCTACAGCAGAAGGAGAAGGCCGGCTCCGGCATCTCGCCCGTCAAGTTGGACTTTGCCAACGGGCCGTACGCGTCCAGCCACGACTCGCCGACGCGAATGGCCGACGCTTTCCTGCCGCCCGCGCGGCCCGCCGCCGCGGCGTTGAACCGCACAAACATCAATCTACAGACGCTCCAGGCGTCCCCGCGCATCGGGACCGCGGACCTGGCCTCGCAGCGCTCGCACGTGCCGGGCGACGACACCCAGCCCCGGCACCCTGTGTCCATGCCGTCCCCCGACGAGGAGTCGAGCGCACACAATGCCTTGATGGTGGCGTTGTCGCGAGCCAAGGAGCGCAGGAAGAGCCAGAACAGCGAGTTCCGGCGGCCCTCGTTCGGGCTGGGGCTTGCCGACCAGCGCCGCGCGCTGCACCACATGCCACACGCGCCGGGCCCCCTTCCCCCAAAACTCCCGCCCATCAGCGTGATCTCCCCGCCGCGGTCCGACGGAGCCTCGGAGCAAGAGGCCGTGTATTCGCTCATGTCGCTCTCGTCGCCCCAGGCAAACAAGCAGGATCTCCACGCTTTGCAGGCGGCCGCGCAGATGCAAGCACACAGCCGCGCCGAGGGCTCAGAGGGCCTGTCGCGGTCGTCCTCGGTGGCCGTGTCGGCGCCTCCCTCTCTGGCGGTGCGCAATTACGATGACGACGAAACGGACGTGGAGGACGGGGACGGGTCGGACAGTGACATGACCTCGTGAGTCATTGGCGCGAGCTCCATAGAAGGGCCCGGCTGCCGGGGACCCCGTTCAGCAGGCATGAACAGGTCTGGGCAGCACGGGGCCGGGGACTTGGTCTTAACTAGTAAACGCCTACTTGCGCTTCACTTCTCAATACAGCTACAGTAACTTACGGAGGGGGCACGTTGTCGGTGACGGGTCGTGTTCAGCATTGCGCAATGTGCGTTCCCCAAGACTCTTTCTGATAGGAGGGGGAGCAGGCGCGCGACATCCCATACCGGGAATGATGACAAAATGATCCATATGCACCGGCTCGGCCAATTGTTGGGTATGCCATTGGTAAGCCAAATTACGCCGCATCTCCCAGGCCCAATGGAGGAGGCCCTCGTTTAACCACTTATCGCATGTGCCTGTATGCAGGCGCGACGTTCAGACGGCCTGCACGGGGGCGGCATACGGCCAATCACTGCAGTGGCGAAGGTCAGAGGGAGAAACAGAAATACATCCAATTTGCTCGCTGCGGCTCTGCTCTTCGTATGGCGTAGGTTCTCGTGGATTCTCGGAAAGTGCCGCCTTGCGGGTCACGTGATCCCGAAAGGCCGGCCCCAGCGCAGGCCCCGCAGGCAGTTTAGTCAGCAAAGCGGCGATGACATGACCGGGGCCTGCACACAGCGTCGGTTCCGAGTTCTCACGTGGTGGACCCGGTAGGCATGGCACAGAAGAGGAAAGCGAGAAAACCGCCTGCGACGTATAAAGCCCTAGACACCACCATTCTTTCAGGCCTCTTTGTTGCTAGCAGAACGTTCCCATTTTTGCTTTCTACACTTTGCTCAAACCTGTCCCGCAAACTCACGTGTTGCTATTGTTGGCCTGAGCGTATCCCTGGCCCATCTGACTAATCCAGCATCGCAGACGACCGGCCATATCGATTTCTTCTGTTTCCAGAAAACCACACCACTAGCAATCCCAAACACAAACACAAACACAAACACAAACACAAACACAAACACAAACACAAACACAAACACAAACACAAACACAAACACATGTCTGTCCTTCTTCTCCTCCACCCAACGGTGGTCACGGACGAGGCTTTGGTGAGCCAGTCCAAACAGCAGATCCACGGCAGATATCCAAATGCTTCGATCACGCAGCACATCATCGAACGCGTGGCCAACAACAGCGTCGGGCTCCCTGCAGAGCACTACGACCTTATTTCGTACGTGAACCCCAACGAGAACCATTTGGGCATCCCCACGACCGTGATGACCAAGCTTTTCCAGGCCTTGAAGCCCGATGGCGAGCTCATTGGAGACTTGCCTTTGGACCAGGACTTGGACGTTTTGATGAGCGGGTTCCTCATCCAGCAGCCGGGGAAATGGCTCAAGCCCGCGCCGGTGGCGGCGTCCGCTGTGTTGCTCAAGAAAAAGACGCCCAGCGGCGAGCCTCGTAGAAAGCCCTTGTTCAAAAAGGCCGCAGCATCGGCAGCTCCCCAAGCGGCCGCCGCGGAGGAAGGTGAGGCCGAGGAGGACTCCGGCATGAAGCGCAAGTTGCAGGCCACCAAGTTGGCGTACTTCAGTGACGTGTCCAGCAACGAGGAAGAGGACGAGAGCGATTTCATCGACGAGGACGACTTGATTGCCGACGCCGAGCGCCTGAACAACTACAACATCGTGGTGCCCAAGAAATGCGAGTTGCCCAGCGGAAAGAAGAGAAGAAAGGCATGCAAGGACTGTACCTGCGGGCTCAAGGAGGCCGAGGAGAGCGAGGACACCAACACGCGGACGCTCCAGGACTCGATTTTGGGCAAGATGGCGCAACTGGCAACGACAGAGGCCATCAAAATCGAGGAGCGCTTGAAAAACTCGAAGGTGCAGTTCACCGAGGAGGAGTTGGCGGAGATCGACTTCACTGTCGAGGGCAAGACCGGGGGCTGCGGCTCCTGTGCTCTTGGAGATGCGTTCCGCTGTGACGGGTGCCCATATTTGGGGCTTCCGCCCTTCAAGCCGGGCGAGGCCATCACGCTCGCGGGCATGGACGAGGACATTTGATTTTACTAGCATTATTTATTGGGTCGGAATGAAACTTCATACAATGTATTTTCGAAGGGCCTCCTGGGGCTGGATGGTCTCGTGGCGAAGCGATGGGCAAGGCCCTGGTACTGACCCTCTTTGTTCACGATGCCGCTGCTTGTGATGAGCCAGGCATCGAAGTCTGTTTTCTCACAAGAACAGCTTGAGTCTTGTGACTTGTGGGCTTAAAAGGAAGCGAGGATCGATGGATGCGACAGCCCGCCTGGAGACGCTAGGATCTGAACCCACATTTGTCCAGGGGCTGGATTTATGTTTGGAACTTGCTTGGTGTGCCTGGAACAGCTGTCACGTTTCCATCAGCACTCCCGAAAATGTTGGCAGCTTGCAGCTTTGACAGGATCCACTAAGCACACCGCAATTATTACTTGCGCACTTTGCAATTCTTATGGGCGGGATGTACCTTGGGGACTCAGGCGTGGCAATCCGAAGTAGACGTTTCTAATTAGCGCCGGCTGACAAGGCTTTTTTGGCAGCTTGGGTAGCGATGCTCTCACTTGTAAAGCTATCGTCGGAGGTATTGCACAGCCGCTGATTTCAGTAATACTGAGATTCCTGAACTTCGATTCAATTTTCCAACTGCCTTCAAGAGTCAAACATTGTTGATTTTATACTGCCAATGCTTCTAAGGCCCTATGTGAGACTTGTTCTCGACCTGACATCTATACTCAATATTCGAAGCAGCACTATCACACGAAATTCGGAACCTCAGACCAGCGCTTTGCCAAATACTCCGGATTGCACTCGTCTGGTATCTAATCTTTCCTTTTTCTTATAGCCTCGAGCGCAACCAAGAACCGTATGAAGAGACTGGCTTTGGCAAAAGGTTGCGAATGCTAGAGCTCGTCTTTATTTATTTAAATTAATTCACCTATTACAAAATTCTAATATCAATGTATTTTTTTGTGATACTGATGTCCCTGTTTCAGATACTACAAGTATCAGGAAGCCCCAGTGAACGATTCTCTTGAGGATTCACAGTCTGTTAGCTGGCTTTTAATATTCCATAGGCAAAAAAACCCTCGTTATTTTCATGAAAAATATGAACCCATTTGCACAGCTCTGCTTGAGACATTGCTGTCAGGATGAACAAAAGCGTGGGTACAAAATGAGCAGTATCCTTGAGGTGATCGCACATAAGAAATTTCACCGGCCACCTAAAAGCCTACAGAGTGACCTGCCGGGGATTGAATGCCCGTGGTATGGCCAAATATTGAATTATCCTTGTTTCTGGCCTGCTTCATTTTTATCTCAACAAAAGAACAGATGGCCTTGCCCTTGAAATATCAGCTCAAGTATACTATTCGGCGGTTTCCGGAATGTTTAACGTCAAAAACTCGTGTCTTGAAATAATTCTGAAAGAATAGTTCTCAATCAGCGGTTCTGAATCGATAGCTCCTCTAGATTCTCCATACCCTGAATGAAGTACTAAAAACTGTTTTCGCAAATACTCATCAACAGACTTTCGCTGCCATACTATTATCGGCCACCCGACGGTGGCACTAATGCTTCTTCGGTTGATTTTCGTATCTGTTTCTCTATGCGTTACTCAGCTGATGTACATCAGGATGCAGCCGTCGTTGTCGCCGCTGGCAAAATTTGCAAAACTGAAGATCAAAGTTGTCAAAACGAACTTGACACTGATGGCGGTGGGAGATTGTTATACCAAACTGTAAACAGCAGTCACCCTGCTGTCTACTCATATGAATCTGAATGGCAAGCTCAAGGTGAAAAAGTAGAAAATGCCGCAAACACATGGGAACAGAATCCGGTGCTGAATTTTCGACAGAACCTTTTTTTAATGGTTACAGCCTCACTCCAAACTCAAAATGAGATTTTGCCTATTGTTCTCCTTCAAGACCCCTTTCCAGCGTTTTTTCGAAAATAAGCAATGTGCGTTTCCCGAAGTATATATCATGTAGACAGCGAAGAGTATAGTGTTACATCGTCACCTTATTTTTAAGGTTCTAAACCAGCGGTGATATCGACCCCCTTTCCACCTCATGGATGAAGGAAAACTTGGGCCAAAGACACGTCACAGATAACAAAATCAGGAATGGCAATGAAGTCAAATAAAGATTTCAAAGAAAACTTTGGGAAGTTAATCAATGACAAAAATATATGAGACAATTTTGACCCCGAATGACATTCTGAAAGTCTTTTGGGAGATGTTGTAGTGCCGATAGAGCGACAGAAGCTTTACCTCACTTTCCGAGAGCTCTGTACCAACTCACTATAAAATTTTTCATGATGGCATTAGCCGGAACAGAAAAATCATCAGTGGCTCGAGCGGACCACTTGCCAGATTGAGAATAAAAACTACTTCGATGAAACTCCAGATTTTCAATCCAGGATTTAAGCATGAAATGTAGATTTAATGATGTGAATTATTGCTTTTTCACCTTAGTAATTGTTCGTTTCGTGCAAGTTCTTTACAAGCTCTGGAAAGAGGCTTATTCGTGGCTTACTTTTCACGGAACGAAGATGAATGTATCATCATTCATAAACATACATAAAGTGAATATAGAATTGCACGAGCAAAACCCAAATCGTCGTGGTATAAATTCATTTGATTCTACATATTGTTTCTCATTTTTGACATCAAAGAACAATTCTCCGATTTATCTTTCTGCCTTGCAATGAAAGCTTATGAAGATTGTCTTATCGATCCTTTCGATCACCTCTTAGGATGAACTATATACTCTTGTGCGTGTTGAGTTGTGAAACCCAGACAGAACCTTGCTTCTGTTTGCGATTTAGGGCAATTTAGAATAGTGATATTTTCGATATATGTGCATTTTTTTAAGGCAAACATTTGACAAATTCGCAATTTACATACATAAGGTGCAGAGTATCAGTCGGCAGGCCCCAGCCCCACTGTCAAGGCAGCCATTTTGCCCATACAATCGCAACAGATTAATACAGCTGCAACAGTGTTGGTGCCGTGAAAGGGTCATGAGCCGCATACATGGGGGCTCCAATTGGATTTGGCAATCCCGTATACTTCTGACCTTGACCAGCCTGGTCTGGAAACGAGAAGGAGTCCGACGTCTCACAATACTTGTCAGGATAGCCATTAATTTGTGCGCCAATCACTCCATGTGTCGTGCCTCCCAATGGAGCTTGCGGCGGGTGCTGATCCAGATGCTGAAGGGGTGCAATTGTTGCATAGTTATCAGCCTGTGGATGATGCTGTGGTGAATGTTGCAGGATCTGATGCTGAGTAAGAGAGTTGCGTCGTTGGATCTGGGTCATATACGGCTGTTGCATTTGATGTTGTGTTTGTGGCTGTGTTGAAGCACTCTGTTGGTGCTGCTGCTGGAAGGCGTGATTATGGGAGGAAATCTCGTCGCCAAATTCATATTGACTCTGTTGGGGGCAATTGCCATATTGCTGATATCTGTGAGATATATACATAGCTTCTGATTGCGGAATCAATTGTGGATACTGCTGGGGCAACTGGAACTGCCCATTCATCTGTTGATGAAAGAGTTGAGTGGGTTGCTGTTCTTGGTTATGTAACTGATAGTGATTCAATGGTATTGCTGGCAGCCTTACTAATTTTGACGCCTGATTAGAGCTCACTTGAGAAAAATCCTGGGTCATAGCAAACGTTTGAACCGGGGGAGTGTTTGTACTCATTGGTTTCACCAGGCAGATTTCACACAGCTTGCTATTCTTATGACGTCTGGGCTTATACCGATAGTTTGGGTACTTTATGGCATGATTTCGTTTTTCTTCATCTGCTAGGGAGTCCCAGTGGCTGCGTTCATCTTTCGTCAAAGCTTTCCAACGACGAGCTAACTCCCGGGAAACATCAGGGTTAGTCTTCAATTTTGTTGACTCCTTTAGCACACTTTGGTGGTGCTTTTGTCTGAACAAAATGAATGCGTTTCGGGGCCTAGGAATGTGATTCTCATCACGCTTGCAAGTGCACCGCTCACTGTACTTTTGATATTTTCTTTCTTTTCTGGGCGTTTGTTGCAAAGGACCAGGGGCAGAAGCGACAAGTGCATTCGAATAAGGGGTCTGAGGCGACACTGTCGCAGAATAATAGTTCATACTTGGCTGATTCGCTGAGCTAGAGCTATTCGAGCTGCTTTGCAACAGCTCAGACAGGTCACCTTCGCCTTTATTGGAAGCCTGGCAATAAAGTGGATATGGGTTGTTAAAGTAGTTCAGGGCCTGTGAAGCCTCTTCTGCTTTTATCTGAGGCAGTTGTCCCATGTTCATTATTGGTAAAATGGCTGGAAGATGTCTGTTTGCAGGTTGCTGTTGTTGGGCAGAAAGCTGCAAACTATATGGCTTAGAGCTCAGCTTGCAGCTTTCAACAGGAACCTCCTGGGGAAAAAAAGTACTTGCAGACATTCACGTTGTTGCACCAATGATTTCGAGCCAAAAAAATGCTTCACTTATTATCTGAACGTAGACACTTGCAGCTGTTGGAAGAGACCAATCACAACGTATATGCAATAAAGGCAAATAACTTGAACTCTTTTGAAAGGTCGTTTGTATTTTGCTGAAGGAAAGAGTTGAGTGGAGCGATAGAGGATGGTTCAAGCGATCAAATCAGAGAGATTTATAAATGTTAAACAATATTTCAGAGGGCAGATATTATGCAGCTATATAAGACGGGCCATGCTAACCAGAAATGAACAAATGCCTTCCCAGAGAGCTCAATAACCGTATATGCAATGCATTCCATGTTGGCTGCAGACAAGGATATTCCAGATGCAGCGAGAGCGCGGCGCAAACGCGGCGCAAACGCGACGTTGGCGCGGGGAAGTTATGAAGCGCAATAAGTTGTCCGTGATGGTATAACTTAAATTTACACATGTGAGCGAATTCAAACTGTATTGGAAGTCATCGAAAGAAGAGGCTACACGAGGAGTGGCACACTATTTGTTTCCATTAAAGTTGGGGTAATTTGGATGACTAAGTATTGAGAGAATGGTTCGGAGCCTGCGAGACTCCCTACAAGGAAAGTGCAGATAAATTGGTTAAACCAAAAAAAAAAAATAAAGCTCTAGTCCACCTCTAGAAACTGGGAGAAATGGCGGCTGCCAAGAATGAGCTGTGCATTCTATGATATCACAATATATTCTATCTCCTACCCATCTTTGAGGGGGCGATCTACATTTAAGTCAAAATTGAATAAATGAAGGGCAAAGGTATAAAGGAAATTATTTAATGAAGAGACAATGTAGGTGCGACAAGAGTCTAACGGTACCAGCTTTCAATGATTTGGAATTGTTTTTATCGCCAGGGTCTGGGCCAATGCCAATGCTTATGCCTCACGCGAATTTCATCATGATTAGCAGGAGAAGTCGCACAAATAGTTCATGGGCATATATGCACACGCAGTTTAAGCCTCCAGTTCTGGGTTGACGGGCTGTGTTCTTAGGTACTGCTAGCATGATGGTAACTACTTTTTTTTTCTGGACAGCTATAATATCTTCCTCTTTACCGATCATCGAAATAAACAAAAGGATATTGATTTCAAGGAACGAGATTTACAAGACCATGTCAAGTTTAGCCGCTTTTGATGAACTCATGCCTGCACGTTTGTCCATAAGAGGGTCTTATTGATTGTGCATCTGTATGCTGTACTTTTCCATTATGACCAGAAGCGAGTATCTACAAAGAGCAATTTATGGTTTTTGAATTTTGAATTTGTTCAATGTAGGTGTCAGATTCGTAGATTGACGAATAGCAGAGAACACACTTGTACTGAATTCATTCGTGTGCTGACTCCATGCTCAAATCCACGTTGTATATGTTTTCAATTTTGGTGGGTTTCCCCGCAGCTACCTGAAATGATTGCCTGATTTTTTCTCGTGAGTAAAGGCATTTCAAACTATGTTTGGACACGCTTATGCCAAGATCAATACTGTCATACAATCAAAGTACAGGGACCTGGATGAGATGCATTTTGAAGGCGGTTTCAATACTTCGGCTTATGATTGAGCATTATGAACACAATAATGTCAAATATTTTGAGCAGTTCACAGAGCTAGATCTGGGCCAAATGATTTGGTTGTGAGCCGTATATTCTCAATTTGGGTTATACCAGGCAAAACCATATGTATCATGCTACAATGAAACTGATTTTTTTCGTGAGCAATATTTATGCCCCATTTTAAAGTCAAGACTTTGCGGTCGGTTAACGTATTCCCTATACATTCTTGGCAGTATTTGCGGATAATTAATATCGTGTCTCGAGTTAGGCTTCATCGTCACTGTTGCACTATATCAGCCCAGTTTAAGTTTGACGTCCTTTTACAAGTGGTAGAGATTGTCTAGCTGAAAGTGAAATAAGGGGTTGGATATCAATAATGCTCGAACAAATTACAGCAACATTGTTTGTATCCACTTGAGGAAGACCAAATAGGAATCGGGATCACCAACAAGAGTTTTGGAATACTACTCAACGAGACTCAGGAGGAGTCTGTTCACTCTTGAAATCTTTGATCGCAAGATATGCAAAGATCAGCAATTAAATTTATTTGTAAGCCGCCCACAACGTCTCTTTCCAATTCCCGGAAAAACTAAATTTCTTGGTATTGGTTTTCGGGCTATGTCTCCAGACTGCATATTGGAAGCTGATGTGAAAGGAGGCTCAGTCATGTTGACACACGCTTAGTGAGGGGATTCCATGCGGCGTTCAGCACTTTATGTACACACGTTTTAGTCGTGTAGGAAATGGTAAGAAAACCATTTAGTCACACCTGCATGGTTGTTAACCCCCTATTTTTTTATGAATAGACACTGCCCATTCTGGCCTAGCAATGGGGATTAAGTCGAATTTCTTGGAAGCGCTCGAAATGGCGTGTTTATTTATACCACTTGCTGACACCAAATTATTCCAGATGAAGATGTGAAAAAAAAGAAAGCCTGACGCGGGGGAGGAAAGCACAAAAAGCCGTTTCCGATCTCCAGAGATTAAGAAATTTTTCCCACCGGCCTGTGCAACGTTTTATGCTCGCAGATGAATAAGCCATCATACATCTTCAACCGTCGTCTTTTTCCTCAGGTGATTTGGGCGCAGCCACCATTGTATACACGTCACCGGCGATACAATATACCCGACTAGATTTTATCCTCCTCGTCTCTCGCTCATGGACTGCGCGTCGCGAAGTGTAGACTAAAAGTGTATATTTTGCATATGCTTGAGATTCCGAGAGTACAACCCTCGCAGGCATCGAGTCTCACAGAGAAGCAATAGGAATCTCGATTGGTGTAAGTGAATTGCGAGGTGCGGCATCAATACCATTGAATTCTACTGGCAAATTGGTTTACGGATTTTGAGCCCAGAAATCAGCTCGTCGAAACAAGAGCCAGTTTTCTTATTGTCCTTTCGAATTACTCTTCATTTGGGTTTGCTGTTTTGATTGCGCTCTTGCAAACAGGACCAAATTGACAGCTACGAATACAATCAGCCACAACTTATCTAACACATCGTACAGCTGCAACAAGACCCAATCTTTCGATATTTTGGGGGCGAGATAAACAGCAATGTGATTATAACTGATTAAAAGATATTGCGGCAAGCCACGCATCATCGGAAAAGGCCAAAGGATCGGACGTGCGTGGTGCTGATTGCTGCGACGAGTTCGCAAATCATGTGCAAATAAGACAGGTTGCCTGTTTCCGAGCCTCTCTCCAACCTCTGTCGACAAATTCCGTTTACGGGGTAGAATCCTCATCATGTACGGCGTGCGGTTGGGTTGCATTCGAATGGGGCTTATTTGCTCACACCACGCATCCGTGCTTGAGTGCAACTCGCCAGGGACCCAGCTGGATCGGGCTCACGTGATCCGAGTCACGCGCTCTCAAGGTTCCTCAGCTATCAATGTACAGCACAACTACGACCAATAACCCTGGCCCAAAAATCTGCAGCAATGGACTTTGACGATAGGCCGGGACCGGAAGAGCCTTTCCCATACCCACTTAACATAACGCGGGAGGACTTTGCCGATGTGGCGCTGTTTGATCCCGACGAATTTCTCTTCAAAAACCACCGGTATACGTCGCTCGACTCGCTAATTGCAGACCTCCGATCGCTCTCGAAGTCCCTCAATCAAGACTTGCTTGACTTGGTAAATAATGAGTATACTAACTTCATTGAACTAGGCCAGTCTATTGGCAGCTGCCTCGAACTCATCGACAATTTGTCTGTGGAGGTGTGCAAATTCAAGGCCTCATTGGGCCAAACGTTTGTTGATTTTTCGGAGTCTTCCGCCACCGCAAAAGCGATTCTCCAGCACAAGCGGTCGCTCAATCTCTTGAAGAACAAAATCAAGGTCATTCTCTTGCTCCATGAGCAATGCATCTCTTTCGAAACACTTCTAGCCTTGGACGTGGCTGACCTTTCTCCTGGGCGCTTGGACATGAAGTTGCATACATTAACAACCCTCCATCTCTCCATTGGGAAGATGTATGCTTTGATTATTGAATCTGCCAGCGGAGCGCAGCATGAAAACACCTCAAGCTTCAGTCCAAACGGGGCGACTGAGACTGAAGCGGATAACCATGCATCCAAGGTAGACAATCCGGAACGCGGGTCCACAAGATCACAAACCTCTGTCACCTCGCAGAACCTGGCTAACACGGAAACCTGCCAGTTTTTTGACAATGTGGTCAAAACAAAAGTGTTGACTCTCAAGTTCGAGTTCAAACTGTACTTGGACGAGCTCTTGGTGATGGCCCGGTCTCGGTCGCAAGAATACAGAAACTTGATATTGTCCATACTACAGACCTACAGAATATTGGGGATGAGTTCCGAAGCCGTGCAGACGCTCCGAAACAAAGTTTAGTATGGGGCCTTGAGCGGAAGCGTAGAGGGCAATAGAACGTGATAAGTGCTAGCCAAGCAAAGCTGGAACCACCAATTGAACACCGACTCCAAGCTCACTACGCATGTCACCTGGCACTCAGCAGCGTGGAGCCCGATCACGTGACACACGTGTATGTGTCCGAGTGTGCCACCAGCGGCCCAGTCCACACATTTGAATGGCCAGACACACATATGGGCACCAACGGCGGCTGAAACCTGGCCCACCAAGACGCTCCAGCAGATATGAAAGCGTTTTGGGTGTGCAAATGGCCTATACAGCCTCAGCAGGCTGGTGTTTACGCGCGCCCCAGCGTAATCGTGGGCACCAACCAAACCGCGACAAATGCACTTACTGGGGCCAACTGTGTGCGCGGCACGACTCCCAAAGATTAGACACGAAAAAGCGAGTCTCGCCTGGTACGACCTTAGCATCCGACGAAACACACAAAAATGGGCCTTGGACAGTGGATTGCGAACTACCAGAGCTGGGAAAATGTCGACAAAAACGAGTTGCCGAAGGAAATCCCCGAGGTGGAAGAAGTCGGCGCCACCTCTGCTCCACTTTTGAGTGCTTCCTTCTTCATTGGAGCCAAGTGCAAGCCATACAATGACGACTTCATGTTGTGCAAAGACGAGCACAATGGAGGCACGGTCGAGTGCTTGAAGGAGGGCAGACGCGTCACGAGGTGTGCTGTTTCCGTGTTGAAGGACATAAATAAGTACTGTTTCGACGAGTTCAAGTTGCACTACGAGTGCCTCGAGCAGGAGAACCACGAATTGGGCTCGTGCAGGGCCACGGAGCAGATCTTCAATAAGTGTGTCTTTGACAACTTGAAGTTGGAGAAGAAAATCCCGGGTGCTGACGAGCAGGTCCACACGAAGATGGACCGTATCTACTCTGGCACGGGGTACGACAAGAAGGCGGCTGCCGCGTTCTTGGAGGCAAGAAAGCCAGCATCCGAGCCCTCGCAATAAGCAGCAGGACCGGCACATTAACCTCCCTACCTCACGCAAGAGCGGGCCAGGCTATCTACGCATCCAAAGTCCTTCTTGGCTGCACCTGCATAATCTTCTACCGGTGTCCTTGGGGCCAGAAACCAAGTCCATACAATAAACATTTTTTCAGAGCTGGAGAATCCATACGTGTAATTCTCAAGAGACGACCGACGTGTCTTGGGGGCGATCAAATGCATATTAAAGGCATCAGTCCGCACAGTATACGTCTATTAAAAGCATTCTTAAACTTTCTTTGACTGTCGGCCTTGTCAAGAGACCAGACTGTCTTCTTCAGGCATGTAGTATAAGCCGCTATTGTTAAGGGTCTTCTAGGGCCAGGCTTCTAAATGCGCACTTATAAGTTGTCCATACAATGAGCGTGATACTCAAGGGTTTAGAGCCAGCATGGCACAATAGGATCTGGAGCCTGCAAATTATTAGCCTTGCAAACAAAGGAGCTTCTATTGAGAACCACCATCCCACAATGATCTGTTCAAATACCATCTGTTTACACAACTATTTTCAAGTAGTAGTCCACACTAAATGCGGAAGAAAATCCAGCAAACATCTTCGAGCTTCTCTCCACACAATGCGTATTGACCAATGGTAGAAAGCCGATACAGTAAGGTTGGAGATCTTACAGGCAGCAGCTACTGAGACGTCTCGGTTCATGCAATGAGCATGTATTCGGACATTTCAAAAAGCATCCACCAGGTGCCACAGTGCATAGCAAGCTTAAAGTCCATGCAATTAACATAAGGGCAGTAAGTACGTACAATAACAACTACTAAAATCACGGTAAACAATGACATCTACTAAAGTCATGTTAATAAATAACTACATACCATTGCCAAGTCAATACAGTAACATCGACTGAAATGACGTGAACACAACGACATCTACTGAAATCATGTTAATTAAAACTACATACTATAGCCAAGTCAGTACACTCAACATCTACCAAGAGCAGCAGGTAAATACAATATCTTCTACTAGAATTTCCATGCAACAAAAGATCTAAAGAAATCAAGTTCACAACAAATGGACCATAGCCAAGTCCATGCAGTAACATCGACTAAAATCAAGTCAATTCCATGCAATCTACTAAAATCAAGTGATACAAAACTACATACCATAGCCAAGTCCATAAACTCAACATCTAACAAGACCAAGCTAATACAATAAGCCCGGACCAAAATCCAGTTACGATAAAAAATACACATAGCCAAGCAAATACAGCAACATCTACCTAGCGCAAGCCAATACAACACACAACCACCACAAAACCACCACACAACCACCGCAAAACCACCAAAAACCCCAAAACACAGTCTGCCTGCCTTCCAAACCAAACCATCCATCACAGCCTCATTGAAATTATCATCAACCCTAATCACCAGTCCAAACCTGTGCCACCAGAGCCAGACGGCCGGCGGGGTCGTGCGCGCACCGGCGCATCAACTGGCGCATCTTCAGCACGCAACAACTACCCAAGTACTCCTCTTATAGCCGCGCTATCTTCTCACCACCGGCTCTGCGCATCTTCACGGCAGCCGTTTTTTTCCCCTACAGCCACACACTCACACCTGCGATGTTTGGTGCCAGCTCCGCCCCCGGGACCGGGTTTCTGGGCCAGAACAAACCGGCCAGCTTCCTGTTTGGGTCCTCCAACACCAACAACATGAACGCCAACAACACCAACAACACCGCCCCCAACAACAACACAAACGCCGCCTCGGGATTTTCGCTTGGCGGCAGCAATGCCAACTCGGCCTTTGGAAACAAGCCGGCAGGCTCGGGGTTCGGCGCAAATGCCCCGGCGGCTTCGGGGAACCTATTTGGTGGCTCCAGCGCCGCTGCAGGATCCGCCCCCTCCTCCGGGGGCCTTTTTGGAAATACGGGCACAAACACAGGCAACGGCGGCACGGCGCCCGGCGGCTTGTTCGGCGCCCCTGCCACAAACACGGCGCCGGCCACAGGCACGTCTCTTTTCGGCGGCAACAACGCGGCCAGCAGCAGCACCGCGTTCGGCAAGCCCGCCGGTGGGCCGCCCGGAGCCCAGCCAACCACAGGCGGCGGGCTTTTCGGCTCGTCGCAGCCCGCCCAGCAGGGCCCGGCGGCGGCAGGCGGGCTTTTTGGCGGCGGCTCTGTGCCTGCGCAGCCATCTGCTGCGCCAGGAGGCGGTTTGTTTGGCAACAAAAGCACGTCCGGCGGGCTCTTTGGCGCGCCGCAGGCCGCCAATGCCGCCCCCAATTTTGCCCTCAACAACAACAACAACAACAACAACAACAACAACAACAACAACAACAACAACAACAACAACAACAACAATCCCGGGATGCCCGGCAGCACGGCCAACAGCGCGCAGCCCGCGTTCAGCTGGTCCGGCCAGCAGGCGCCCGGCGGCCCGGCCAGCACGTTGAGCGGCTTGGAAATCAAGCTCCCGGCCAGCTCCAAAAGCCAGCCGGACGCGTCTAACTACACGCCGGCCGTCAACGACCAGTTGACCAAGCTCCGCGAGCAGTGGGACCCCCGGTCCGCAAAGTGCGCGTTGAAGACGCATCTCTACAATAAGTTCAGCGAGCAGGAGATCGCCGTGCTCTTGCAGCAGCCGCGGCCTGCCAGCGAGTCCCCCGAGGACTGGGAGAAGGCCATGGCGCAGCGGCCGTCGCCGCTCCACTACCCCGTGAAGGTCACGTCCTTCACGGAAATGGCGCAGCGGGTCGAGGTGCAGTTGGAGCATGTGGCCAAGTCGCGCGTGTTCCTCAACAACATCTACGAGAAGCAGGCGCAGTTGTCGGCGCAGCGCGACTTGGACACCACCACGCGCATTATGAAGGCCAAGGCGCGCCACACCAAGCTCTCGCGCCGCTTGTTGAAGTTGGCCACGCTCTTGGCGGTCTTGAAGCTCAAGGGCTACCCGTTGTTGCCGGAGGAGGAGGAGATCTCGCGGCAGTTCCAGGTGTTGAACGCGGCGTTGAGCGACCCCAACGGCGCCGTGGGGAAGCTCAGCGACCTCTACGCGCGCTTGGCCATCTTGAAGGGCCGGAGCGAGGACTTGTCGTCGCAGTTGGAGTCGTCCATCACGACCATGAACGGCGGGCTCAACACGCTCGCGAGCTCCTCGTCTGCTGCCGCGGGCGAAGGCGCCACGCCGACCGAGCAGGCCATCCTGCTGTTGACCAAGCTCTTGTACAAGCAGCAGATCGGCCTTGGCTACCTCAACGACGTGGTGCAGCAGGACTTGGCTGCCGTGGACAGGCGCACCAAGTAAGGCGCCGCTGCGCCCTGCGGGCCTACATACCTGCACTACACTCGTGCGTGGATCATTGCACTCCTTCATTAATGCATACTTAATTCACGCCCCGTCACCAGAAGCCTCTGAACTTGCCGTTCGCGTTGTGCTTCTCGGCCAACCACGGGAGCTCCTCGTCAAGGTCCATCAACGCACCCGTGCTGATGACTTGGTTCATGTTGACCTGGACCTGGGTGTCCGGCGCGACGCCGGTTAGGCGTGCCAACGCCGAGCGCCCGCTGTCGACCAGGAGCGGCTCGATTTTGTGTAGCCTCTGGAAGTTGTGGCGGACATGCGGGAGGACGTCCATGGCCGCGTGGTTCCCCGACAAGAGGAAGAACGGAGACTCGCTTGTGGACGGGCTGATCTCGTACTCGCCCTGGAGGTGCTGGCCCTCCGCGAGAAGCTTGTGCTGGAACGGCACCATGAACCGGCCCTCCAGATATAGCTCGTCGTTTTCGATGTAGCTGTACCTGGGAATGCCGCAGATCCGGCGGATGTACGCCAGGAGCTCGTTCAGGCGCTGTTCCAACTGTGCCGGAGTGGCGTCCAAGGCGTCGTCGGCCGGTGCAAACGGGTCGATCTGCGACGGCTGCTCCGACGCATTGAACACCACGGTCACGATCTGCCTGAACGGGTTGCTCAGCGAGTGGCTGGACTGTTGGACGTGGAAATAGTCCACCGGCGCAATGCTGCGGAAGTTCTGGAGAAGAAAGTCCACTTCTTTGGCACAGCTGGGCGCGGGGGACAACCTGAGTCTGGCGCAGATGGTGTAGTTGAAGTAAAGCGCGCTTCGGGCCGCAAGCGACATGGCGGTTGTTGTGTGCAACGAGGCTGTGGCAGTACGGGTGGCCGGGTTACAGTACAGCGAGTGGTGGTGGAAGAATCCGGGAAGGCGGAGTGGGGGCTGTATAGACGCAAACTTTCGATGAGTATCGATTTCCAGGGAGTCTTCGAGAGTGGACTGGGCGAAAACACAAGGCCACTGTAGTGATCCAGGGTGGCGGTCAGCTGTCTTTAGCGGCAGTCAAGGGCAGTGGGTGTAGGAATTAACCGAAGGCAACAGGAATTGATTAGCAGTGATCAGAGTACGCTGTAGGAGTCAGTAGTCATCAACAGTCATCAATGGTAATCAATAGTCACCAACAGTAATCAACAGTAATCAATGGTAATCAATGGTAATCAATGGTAATCAACAGTAATCAACAGTAATCAACAGTAATCAACAGTAATCAACAGTAATCAACAGTAATCAACAGTAATCAACAGTAATCAACAGTAATCAACAGTAATCAACAGTAATCAACAGTAATCAACAGTAATCAATGGTAATCAACAGTAATCAATGGTAATCAACGGATTTCAACAGGAATCAACAGTCACCAACAGTAATCAACAGTAATCAATGGTAATCAATGGTAATCAATGGTAATCAACAGTAATCAATGGTAATCAACAGTAATCAATGGTAATCAATGGTAATCAATGGTAATCAATGGTAATCAATGGTAATCAATGGTAATCAATAGTGACCAACAGTAATCAACAGTAATCAACAGTAATCAACAGTAATCAACAGGCACCAACAGTACTCGGTAGCTTCGACAATAATCGATATTCAACAGTGAGAGGTCAACAGCAGTCAGCGAACGGCAGTCAGACCAGCAGTAATACCAGCAGCAAAGCAACAGAAACCAGCAGCAAAGCAACAAAAAAGCAGCAGCAAATTATAATCGACTTCTGCAACGCCAGCCTCAATAAAAGCTCCCACAAGAAATGCGCTCCCAGACCCGCGTGCGCATCGCATCTCCACAACGAGGTCCTGTACTGATGTGCTCCATATATCAGGGCCCCGGGGCCGCGTGATGTCTCCGCCATTCGCAGAAAAAAACACCCATGTCAGCTTTGGACAGGCTCTCGGACGCGTTGTCACGTGGCCTCAACCGCGCGGTGGCCCCGGCGCTCCTGCTTGTGGTGGTCCGGCTCTATAAAGACTGCCTGACCAAGGAGCTGTTTGCGGCTGCCACGAAGGCCTTGGGTTTTTCGGATGCCCTCGCGGCGTCGCTCTATGTGTACGTAAACGATAATATAGGTCGGCTTGATGAGGAGGTTTCTAGAGGCGGGGGTCTGGCGGTGGGACCCGCACGTTCGATTGGGAAGAAAGTAGCAAAGCCTGTGGCCAAGACCGGAAAACGGAGATTGCGGGCGGATTTGGAGGCGGAGTTGGAGGGGGATTTGGAGGCGGACGAGGCGGGTTTGAGGGAGGGTTTGAGGGAGGGTTTGAGGGCGGATATGAAGGCGGATATGAAGACGGACTCAAAGACGGACTCAAAGACGGACCCAAAGACGGACCCAAAGACGGACCCAAAGACCGGGCTGGAATCGAATATGGGCCCCGGCCCTCTGCACGCCGCCACCGCTCTGAAAAACCTCGTGGATGGACTCAGCGATTTGAGTGCCGACGAGGCGCCGGCGCCGAGGAAAATTGCATTCAAGAAAATCAAAAAAGCCCATGCCCGGCGCATCAAGGAGGTGTGCGGCGGCGGTGGACATCTAGCTGGAGGCCAAGAGGGGGAAGGACCACACTGGGCCTCGGCACCTACGCTTTCTGCCGTCTCGGATCAGGACCAACGGCTTCCAGCCACAGCCCTGTTGAAGGAAGACACGCGTGAGTCTGGTGGGGCCGGGCCTTTGGCCAACACAGGCGGCCACCAGAATTCTACCTCAAGCGGTCGGATCAACCAAGCCAAAGCCCTCGACGAGACCAGAGGCCTTTACGGAGCAAGAGACCTTTATGGAACAAACGACATCCATGGAACAAACGACATCCATGGAACAAACGACCTCCATGGAACAAGAGACCTTGATGGAACAAGAGACATATATGGAACAAACGACTCTCATGGAAACCAAACCCTCCCTGGAACAACAGACATCCATGCACAAAAACCCCTCCCTGGAACAAAAGTCCTCCATGAAACAGGCGTCCCTGCTCCCCCACATGAGCCCCTGGACGCCGCCCCCAGCTGGTGGCTGCGTCTGTCGGGCGCCTCCACAAACGACCAGGAAGACACTCAGCAAAACATCGACAACGACCGCGGCTGGTACACCTTGGAAGACTCCGCCACTGCTGCCGTGGACCAGTACCGCGACCTCGAAACAGAGTACCCCTCGTCAAGAAGCCACAGGCCCCGGCCGCAGCTGGGCCGCACGTCTGGCGGCGGATTCAGTGCTCTGGGCGAGTACCTCGACTATGACCACCAGGGCCTGGCCCGCGCCCGCATCCCCATCCAGGCGCATTTCGTCGTGCCTCCGTTCCTCCGTGGCTCCGAGCACCACCTCTCGTTGCAAATCGGCCTGAGCCGCACCGGCCGCAGCTTCGGGCCCAGCGTGGATCCCGTCAAGGACCCGGAGTCCGAGTTGGCCGTGGCCGCCCGCTCCGGCAGCCACCTCATCAAGGACCGAAAGGAGAAACACGAGCGGGCCAACCAGGCCAAAGAGCGCGTTGCCGCACCCACGGACCTGCCGTTGAAACACGACCCGCCTGCCCCCATTCAAGACCTGGACACGGCCGACTACTCGTTCGAAACCATCCAGCAGCAGAGGCGCTCGTTGCCCGCGTTCCACGTGCGCGCCGAGCTCCTCAAGGTCATTGCCGAGAACCAGATCGTCGTGGTGGTGGGCGAGACCGGGTCCGGCAAAACCACCCAGATCACGCAGTTCTTGGCCGAGGAAGGCTACACGAAAAGCTTGCACCGCGACGGCGCCCGGCGCCTCGTGGCATGCACGCAGCCCAGACGAGTGGCGGCCATGTCCGTGGCGAAAAGAGTCTCGGAGGAAATGGGCGTTGCCCTCGGCGACGACGTGGGCTACACCATTCGTTTCGAGGACAAGACGTCCCACCGCAAGACCAGAATCAAGTACATGACCGAGGGTATTCTCCTCCGCGAGATCCTCGAGGACCCGTGCTTGGAGCAGTACTCGTGCGTGATCATGGACGAGGCCCATGAACGCTCGCTCAACACCGACGTGCTCTTGGGCTTGTTCCGGAACTTGCTCCGCCGCCGACGCGACCTCAAGCTCATTGTCACGAGTGCCACCATGAACGCCGAGCGCTTCACGCGCTATTTCGGCAACGCACCGCAGTTCTTCATCCCGGGCAGGACGTTCCCGGTCGAGGTGTTCTATGCCAAATCACGATGTGCGGACTACGTGGAAACGGCAGTCAAGCAAGTCGTCACCATCCATTTGGCCAACCGAAAGGGCGACGGTGATATATTGGTGTTCATGACGGGGCAGGAGGACATCGAGGCCACTTGTGAGTTGATTAACGAGAAACTTGCGTTGCTAGAAAACCCGCCCCCGCTCGACGTGTTCCCGATCTACTCCACTTTGCCTGCGGATGTCCAGAAGAAAATCTTCACCAAACACAGCCTGGAAAGACGCAAGGTGGTGGTGGCCACCAACATTGCCGAAACCTCGCTTACGGTGGACGGCATCCGCTATGTTGTGGACTGCGGCTTGGTGAAGATGAAGTTGTTCAACCCGAAGCTCGGAATGGATGCGTTGCAAATGGTGCCAATATCCATGGCAAACGCCCAGCAACGAAGCGGCAGAGCGGGAAGAACCGCGCCAGGAATGGCCTACAGGCTCTATACTGAAACTGCTGCTCTGCCGGACCAAATGTACGCTCAGCCCATTCCGGAAATCCAGAGAACTAATTTGAGTGCCGTGATGCTCTTGTTAAAGAGTTTGCACGTCCAGGACATAGCGAAGTTTCCGTTCTTGGACTCGCCACCACTTGACTTGCTCGCGTGTTCCCTCTACGAGTTGTGGGCCATGGGGGCACTCGAAAACCTGGGCAACCTTACGCCTCTTGGATCTAAGATGACACAATTCCCCATGGAGCCTACACTTGCGAAATTAATTATTTTGTCATGCCAGAACGAGTTCCACTGCGCTTCAGATATCATCACCATAGTGGCAATGTTGTCTGTCCCCAGCGTCTTCTATCGGCCGAAGGAAAGAGCGGACGAAGCCGACGCAATGCGAGAAAGATTCTTGGTGGCTGACCTGGACCACTTGACTCTCCTCAATGTCTATACCCAGTGGGAACAACGAGCAAAGACCAAAAACATGACGATGGGGAAGCTAGCAGCCTGGAGCAGCCGGCATTTCTTGCACCATAAATCGCTATTACGAGCGAAAGATGTCCGCACGCAGTTGGAAGCAATCATGTCCAAACTCAATTACCCATTGCTCAGGGCCAAGGACGACTCGGACATCCGCAAATGTATTTGCGCGGCCTACTTTCACCAGCTGGCTTCACTCGAGAAAATGAGTGGCGGCAGGGGTCAAGCAGAGTATGCCAATTTGAGACAGAGTTACATGAAAATGTTCCTCCATCCTACCTCGGCTCTTGTGGGTGGCGCAGACTTAAGTCCCCAATACGTCGTTTACGACGAGCTTGTGCTCACCAAAAAAGAGTATATGCAATGCGTGACCGCCGTTGAGCCCGAATGGCTCTTGGAATACGGCTATGTTTTCTATGGCGTGAGTGCAAAAGTGAGGGAGGAATTGGAGAGCGAGAGAGGTATCAAGCTCATAGACCGTTCTGAACTCGAGATGCAGATGAAACAAAGTGATGCGCAGCCCGGGGGACGGGAAGAAAGACCCACCCAGGTGAAAAAAATGAGAATCAACCGGAACTTCTAATTGCTAGTTGGTTCGGCACTATATACACGAAACAAGAAACAAAACAAGAGACGTTTACTTGAGTTGGACGTTGTCTATGAGGCGTGCGACAGTACCGTCCTCCTTGGGTACTCTGACAGCAACAGAAACCGTGGCACCGATATCTTTATCCACAGTCACTAGCTCATCCAAAGTTTCCGGGTGTGAAATGGCAACATAATCAATTTTCCAGTCTTGCGGCATGTTCTGATAAGTCTTGTCGATGGCTTCTCGGATGGCCTGCGCGGTCACAGACATTCCCTCATCCTGGGCCTTGGCAAAAAGTGTTCTGGCAGCAACAAGCCCTTGGTATATGATCGTACACTCGTCCTTTGTTTCTGGAGACAAGTACTCGTTACGAGACAGCATGGCGAGGCCGTTTGGCTCGCGAAGAGTGTCCAAGATCTCAACCTTGGTGTCTATTAAGAGATCCTTCACCAAGTTCTTGATGACGACACATTGCTGGGCGTCCTTCTGGCCGAAGTAGACGCGGTCGGGCGTGACAACATTGAGCAATTTGGTGACCACCGTGGCAACTCCCCGGAAAAACGCCGGTCTCAGTGCACCCTCAAGCTGCTCCGAGAAGCCTTGCACGGTGACAAACGCACCTTTCTGTTTTTCGACCTCCAAAACGATCCCCGAGGGGTAGAGCTCCAGAATTTTGGGCACAAACACGGCATCTACGGGTTTCTCTGAAAACTGCTCATCCAACATGGCGAGGTCTCTGTCCAAGGTTCTAGGATATGCGTCCAAGTCTTCGTGTGGAGCAAATTGCGACGGATTGACGAAAATCGACACCACCGTGCGGTCGTTGTCTTTGATGCTATGGTGGACCAAATGGCAATGTCCCGCATGTAGAGCACCCATGGTGGGCACGAAGCCAACAGACTCCTTATTCAAAAGACACTGTCTTCTCCACTGGCGGACCTGCTGGACTGTGCGAAGCACTTGAATGGCGCGGGTCATTTTTGATAGAAGAGGGCACCGAGGCTATAAATAATCGACCGACCAATTGAACTCTTTTGGGGCCTCGAATGTTGACGTGGCTTTCTTAAATAAGTTGGGAGGGAGAGGTGATTCAGCTCATCTCTGGCATTAGCTCGTATAGAGTGCGCATCGGGTTTTTTTCCCGTCATGGCTGCGGCCTCAGCCGAGTGCCTCGGTATTTCTGGGGTAGGAGCCATACAGGTCCTGGCATTGAACTTTTGGCCAACAGAAATATAGAAGAGGAAAAGGCAATGACGATTCGGAAACTCTATTGAAAGCAGAAGAAAAGAACTGGAAATAGAGACACCAGATGTTCTGCACCGTCGAAACTATTTCTTGGCTCTGCTCAATTTTCCTTGATTTACCAAGATCTTCTTTGCGCAAGGATACGATTTGCAGAGGCTCGGTTCAGGTCAGTATTTTGACAGCAGCTGCTATTGGTAGGTCTTTGGGGTGGGATTTGTCCGTGAGAGGTCCACATTCCGGGAGCCCGGCCTGAGACCAATTTCAAAATAGAGATTCATTTTGATCGCCATGTGAAGAAGGAATTGCCAAAGGATCAGCTATTTACGCAGACTGTGCTCAAACAAAAGTGCAAAATCAGAAGACACTGCCCGAAACCCTGTGTCCACAATCTCATAATGCTACACGCTGCGTCCAATAAACAAGAACGTGCATGAAACTGAACACTCGTGACAGCATCTCAGGCAATATTTCAATTTCTTACGTTCAAGAATATTGAGTCAGAGTGAAACCTTCCGACACCAAGCCACGAAGCTTAAATGTACGAGACCATACACACAAAAATGCATATCTGAGAACTGAAGAAAGGCAGAGTCAAGTACTTAGGGTCCAGTGATGCAAGCTGGAATTTTTACCCAAAGGTCTATTCAGAATAGTGCAGCCTCGGATGCGTGAATCTAATACAACACAGTACTCATGTACGCTTGACACTTTTGCAACTACACTGAATGGAAGATCCTTCATATAATTTACACCTGGATCAGAGGTATATAGCACAGCTAGCATGTTGTCCGACACGCCAAAGCCAAAGACTGGCTTTAGTGTGCATGGGCTTGAACTCCACACTCACAGCAATGTGGTCAACCATCTCATTCAAAAACATCCCAACATTTCCCCTGGTATTTGGTATCTATAAGAGTGCCCGCAAGCGCATGCCTGGGTGCAAGACGCGAAGTCACGTGCACGCGATTTCACATATATCGAAAAAAAAAAGAATACCGGACTCATCTAGCTCATCGCATCTCATCGGGCAAAAATGGCTAGCAAGGAAGTTGTTTTGGCGCACGTCGCCAAGTTCTTGGCTAGTGACGAAAGCCTTCAAAAGGTGCACCGTGCTTTGGAAAGCTACGTGAAGAAACAGAATGTGACCTTGCCCACTGTCGCAGGCGATTTGGAGTCAATTCTCGAGAAAAACGAAAGCAACACAGAGCCAGCAGCGGCCGAGAAAGAGAGCAGCTCGGACTCGGATTCCGACTCCAGCTCTGACTCGGACTCGAGCTCTGACTCGGACTCGAGCTCCAGCTCCGATTCAGACTCTAGCTCCAGCTCGGATTCGGATTCTAGTTCCAGCTCGGACTCGGACTCCAGTTCTGGTTCTGACGCTGACACGGAAAGTGACAACGAGTCCGAAGACGAGATGCAAAAAGATGACTTGGACACGAGCTCCAAGACGGAGTCAATTCCTGAGGCCGAGCCAGCCACGCCTGCCAAGGCGAACGCTGGTTCCGATTCCAGCTCCAACTCGGACCTGGACTCGGACTCGGACTCTAGTTCCAGTTCCAGTTCCAGCTCCAGCTCTGACTCCTCTGACTCTGACTCTGATTCGTCTTCTTCGTCGTCTTCCTCGTCGTCTTCTGACTCATCCTCGTCGTCTTCTGACTCTTCCTCGGACTCCTCTTCTGACTCCGAGTCTGAGGCTGAATCCAAGAGCACAAAAAGAAAGGCCGAGGATGACGGAATTGCCACCAAAAAAGCCAAGGTGGAGGCCAAAGACGAGTCGCCTGCCATCCCAGCCTCGGAGGACGAATTGAAGCCTGGCCAAAGAAAGCACTTCTCGAGAATCGACCGCTCGAAAGTATCGTTCGAGGCCCAGGCACTCCAGGACAACCAGTACAAAGGCGTGGCAGGCACCTGGGGAGAAATGGCCAACGACAAGTTGTTGCAGGTTCGTGGAAAGGACTTCACCAAGAACAAGAATAAGATGAAGAGAGGTGCCTACAAGGGTGGCAGCATCACCATGGCGTCAGGCTCCTACAAGTTCACCGACTAAGTGTGCCGCACTGAGAAGCCGGGTTCTTGGGTATCATTATTGTTAATACTACTAATAGAGCAAGGCCCGCTGGCACGCGGGCCGCATCTTCCAGGCCAGTTTACGCTGAGGGAAGGAAATAAAAGAATTTATGATGCAAGGCAATGTCTCGCTTTGGCCACGATTTTGGGGATGCGGAGGGGCACACGGCCGGGCTGATGATGCTGTGACTAGCATTGGTGGTGTGTGGAACAGTAGTGTTTAAATTCCGAGTACCCGGCACGGTGAATGTAAAACACTTTTTTTATATCATTGTCTGTAGCGCTTTACCCGTCCTCTTTTGAGATTTATTGATGATGGCTAAAAATGCTCGGTTTTCACTGGTTTGGTTACGGCCAGAGAGCTACTGCCCCAAATTCTAAGTTCGCTCATGCGACGCCCCAGCACATTTGTGGAAACTCTTCTTTTTAGCAGACCCGCCAGAACAAGTAAGGACGGCGTCATAGCCCGCTAATTAGAGAGCCTGCAATAATTCAATCCTCAGGGGTTCAAAATTTGGTTTTGCCAAGTTGAGGTGAGGCACCATTAATGGTGGCCTCCGCTGCGAATCTGGTGTGTTCGAAGATGACATTGGCAATCCGACGTGTCCCGTGGCAGAGCCCTGCGAGGAATGTAATTGAAGAAATGAACAAAAGATCATATCTCTTCATCCATTCTTCCTTATACGAGGTTTTCCAAGAGTGTTTACACCGTTAAGTCTGACGGATCACAGGATGTAAGCGAAGAAAGTGCTGTGGCATTATCGGGAGTTGCTTTTCTTCCTTTTGCGAGTCAGGGATTTGAAAGTCACCCTACTGATGGCTTCGTTTCTGCTTCTTTGAACCGTGGAGTCTTTGCTAGCATTTGTTTGATCTGTTCATGATAGTTTCTTGAGCTATCACCTGGTGTCGATATGGTCCTTGTCCTGTGTACCACTTCTTTTCATGCTTAGATATAAACGATTCTATTTTTCGTGAAATTCCACTCGAAGGGTGTGCAGAAATGACCCGTTTTGTGAAGCAAGAAGGTATACCATTCGGAAGTGGCTTGTTGTTGTAGGTTGGCTTGTTCGTTGTTCGATACGATTTTGTTCATGTGATGAAGCAGTCGTATTCCAAGGTACTGATTGTATCAGCTATCGTTCTGGAGTGTATCTGTCAACACCATTACCCGATGACCTTTAAGTTGTGTCAGTAGTTCGACAATGCCATGGCCTTCGTTGCGAGGTCTCGCCAGTCTTGACTTGTGGATTCCTGGGAACATTGTTTTAATTTTGAAATCATTTTTTTCAAGTTCTCTGGCGGTCATACATTTGATCAAATCTTTGTACACCGTTTTTTAACTGACAAAGATGTTTCCTAATATTTGGCAGATCAAGTTAAGGCTCAGATATCCCAATTCGCGTGTCATAAATGGGAATATGGATAGAATCTGCCCTATTGACCCAATTTATTGGATTACACAGGGATGTCGTCAGATCTTTGAAAATATGAGACCTGGGGAATCGGAGATGTTCTTGTTGAGATTCGGGATAGATTTGATACCAAGGATTTTAGATCTTTTATGGCTTATTCTGCAATTGTTCATTTTCTCGAAAGCTGTGACTATTATTTCGGGTTTACAGTCGTCTATATCTTTGAGATATAAGTTAATGTCTACACTCGCATGGTACTCATTGTTTGTGGTTGGACTTCTTAGTAGTAAAGGTTGATACGTTCATTCAGGTTGAGTTGAGCTAGAAACGGTTCCAGTGCCAAATTAAAGAGAAGACGCAACATGGGACCACCACTGTCGTCCTTCAGAATGATCATAAATATCATTTCTTACTATTCTCTTCCGACATCGTTTACGATCAGACAGCATCATCAGCATAAACTTCATCCTCCACACCCTCCACTATCATCCTCCACTGTAATCATAAACATCATCCCTCACATTCTTGACTATCATTTTTCACTATCGTAATAAACATATTTTACGATCATTTGCCCTACCATCACCAACATCCTCTGTACACCCTTCAATATGACATTCAACTATAGCCATAAACATCTTCTTCCACACCCACCACTATAAAAAAAGTAAAACCCATTTTTCACATCCTTTATCATCGTGCACCACTATCATCCTCTAACATACATCGACATCATGCTCTACTATCACCCTCCTCCATCATGATAAACATCATTTTCATAGTTTTAATGATCGTCCTTCACAATCACGATAAACATCATTCTTTACTAACATCCTCCACTATCGTCATAAACATCATCTGCGCACCTCTCATTATCGTTCTTCATTATCGTTCTTCCCACAAGCCTTCACTATGATCATAAATAACATCTTCCGATTTGGCTTTGGAAGAAGGTGACTGTTATATCTATATGTTCAATAAACACATGTGAGGCTGAAAATGTCACCCAGGTTCTCCGATGTTCCGTTGGACAAATGTTCGTAGTGTGGGCTACTTCTAGTGTGAGTCTACTTTGCTTACCTGTGGTGTACTTCAAAGCGCGTTCGTTTCCAACTCCATGACTGATTATCAGCTATCACTCCGGAAACAGAGATCGGACACACAAGAAGCGCGCTATTTGAAATCTTCATTTGGTGTAGTATGGTGTTTTTTCTGGTTGAAAGTACCAGCACTATACAAAGCCATTTATAATTGGAGAATTGATAACTTTTTGTCTAGAAACATTGTTCTTTCACCATTGTGGCCACATCCCTCACCATGGCCCGTCACTATTATCTTTTACTATTCCCCTCCCCTATTATCATAGATATTATGAAAATGGTCTTGCACATACATCATCCTTCACTATCACTATAGACATCAATCAGCATGCCTCACCACCAGCATCGACTGTTCCGTTCAAGTATCCTCTCCTCTATCATCATAAACATCATCCTTCACATCTTTGACGATCGTCCTTCATTTACCATCATTCTCCCCTATCATCATAAATCTCATCTTCGCTTCATTATCATCCCTCACAATCCCAATAAACATACATTGTAACTCATCCTAATTAGCCTTCTAATCACCATAAGTATCATCTTCACACCCTTCACTGATACTTTCACTATAATCAAGAACATTGTCTTCCCTGTCAAACATCCTCCACTATCATCATCGTCACATAACACCATAAACATTATCTGCGCACTTGACCATCGCCCTTCATTATCCTTTCTCTCAGTTAGTCTTTCTCATTAAAAACATTTTCTTCCATCTCCCAAAACCCTTCACCCTTCATTGTCCTTTGTTCCAATTAGTCTTTTTCATCAGAAACATCATCTTCTAACACCCTTTACCATCTTCCTTCAGACAGAACAAAGACATTGGTGTTGTAGAACTTGAAACACGTAGTATGAGAGTCGATCGAAGTGTGTACACCTGTAATGCTTTACATGCTCTATCTTGCTGAGTATCTGAGTATTTAGAAGGCTACTGCTCACCATCCAAACGAGTAGTTCTGAGGTTACTGCTCATCATCCAAATGAGTTGTCTCATGACTCCCTCCGCAGTGAAGAAGCGCTTCATTTTCAAAGCATATTTGGGCTTGAAATGAGATTCAGCAGGTGTCTTTCGTTCAATAGCTTATTTTTATTTTGTCTTGACTGCTCTCCCACTGTCAAAACTTATTTTCTCGAACCTTGAAATTCCTACTGACTACAAGCAAGGACCTCTCTTAGGCTTTCATACCAGATGTATGGATACAAGTCCCACCCAATGAAATTCGATTTGAAATACCAATCACATGGTGGTTTGCACTTGAAACAAAAACAAATGTAGCATATAATAGGATCAGTCATTGTATCTATACTTCACGGGGGTGAATATTGAACAGTAATAAAAGCATGCTCATAGAGCGAGAATTGCTTGCCACCCAGGTCAAATCTCCTCCGGTTACTCCCCAGTCTTGGACTGTCACGCTGCCCACATTGCCTGTAAGTTCGACACCTTGTTGGAGAAGATCGACAGAAGAACTGGTAAGTCCTTGGAGTCCGCGCCTAAGTTCGTCAAGTCCGGTGACCCCGCCATTGTCAAGATGGTCCCAACCAATCCAATGTGTGTTGAGGCTTTCACCGACTACCCACCTTTGGGCAGATTCGCCGTCAGAGACATGAGACAAACCGTTGCTGTCGGTGTCATCAAGGCTGTTGAGAAGACCGACAAGGACAGTAAGGTCACCAAGGCTGCTCAAAAGGCTGCCACGAAGTAAGTCAACTAGTCTAAGTAGTGTGCTTTTGTTGGTTCCAAGTTTAAGTAAATGCCTTGTTTTGAGGAGTTCACCAATCTGGGATCCATCAATGACTCATAAAGAGTTCGGTAGAAACGAGACGAGTCCAAATCTTGTTGAGAAATAATCTGCTGCACTAATACCAAAGCTTACACGGAGGTGTTGAAGTTGGTGGAGTGAGTGATTTTGTACAAGGTGTTCAAATGATTTGAGTATATTTCGGAAGGTAAATCTGAAAATGGAAACGCACGATTCAAACCGGTAAGAAGAGCAGAAAACATTTTAGCACTGCGTTCCTCAACAACCTCTTCTTCGGATTTCTCTTTTTTCTTAACAGACTTTCCTCCTTTCTCCAATTAGTCATTCTCATCAAAAACATTCTCCTCCATCCTCCAACACCCTTCCCCATCACCTTTTTATCCTTTCTCCCAATTAGTTCTTCTCACTAAAAATACTCTCTTTTTTCCTCCAACACCCCTCACCATCATCCTCCAACACCCTTCCCCATCACCTTTTCATCCTTTCTCCCAATCAGTCTTCTCATCAAAACCATCCTCTTCCATCCTCCAACACCCTTTCCCCTTCCTCTTCACCCTCCCCGATCGAACCCATCACCCCAGCTTTCTCTCCGCGCGCACCAGTTGCACCCATTCCACAACGGCTGCGCTCCTGCGCACTCGCCTTCACAGCGCCCGCGCAACGCAACGCACATCGCTCCAGCCTCCATACTCCTTCTTCCTCCCCAAAAAAAACCCGTCTGTTTTCCCCAGCTCCCCCGGAATCCAACCACGGCCTCCCCCCGCGCGATGTCCCGCCCCAACTACGCCGACATCGAGCGCGGCAACTTCTCCGACGACTCGCTCGGGTCGCCGGACGAGGCGCCTTCCAGCGTGCTGGCCGCCAAAGACGACGACTACACTTTTGGCCACAAACCCCGCAAACGGAAGGCCAAGGCGCCGGCGGCCGCGGCACGTGCTGCCGGGCCCGCGGCTGCCAAACGGGGCGCGCCCATGGCCGCGGCGACGGGCGCAGCCGCGGCCTCGCACATCGCCGCCAGTCTCTCCGACGAGGAGTTCCATGAGGACGAGTTGCTCGAGGTGACGCCCGAAATGCCCGCGGACTACGTGCCCGACGCGGTGCTGCGCGTGTTCGGGCGCCTGGACTTCCTGTACTTGAAGTTGAAGCCGGACCACTTCTCGCGGCCCGTGTGGATCTCGCCCATGGACGGGCGCATCATCCTCGAGTCGTTCTCGCCGTTGGCCGAGCAGGCGCAGGACTTCTTGATCACCGTGGCCGAGCCGCGCTCGCGGCCCTCGCACATCCACGAGTACGCCATCACCACGTACTCGCTCTACGCGGCCGTGTCCGTGGGCTTGGAGACGGACGACATTGTCCTGGTGTTGACGCGCCTCTCCAAGACGCCCATCCCGGACTCGTTCCTCCAGTTCATCCGCGACGCCACGGAGAAGTTCGGCAAGGTCAAGCTCGTGTTGAAGCACAACAAGTACTACGTGGAGAGCACGCACGCGGAGACGCTCCAGACGCTCCTCCAGGACCCGGTGATTGGGCCGTTGCGCGTGGTTTTGCCCGCGGCCCAGCACGGCGTGCCGCCCGCCAAGCCTGCCGGGCCGGGCCCGGCGCCGGGGCGCCACGACGACGTGTTTGCCGCGGTCGTGGGCCCCCCGGACGCCGCCAACATCAACGCCAACGGCAACATCAACGGCAACATCCATGGCAGCGCCACTGCCACCACCGCCACTGCCACCGCCACCACCATCAACACCAACGCCGACGACGACGACGACGACGACGCGTTGGACGTGGTGCACTCGTTCGAAATCTTGAGCGACTCCGTGGAGATCGTCAAGAAGCGCTGCCACGAGATCGACTACCCCGTGTTGGAGGAGTACGACTTCCGCAACGACCACCTCAACGCCACGCTCGACATCGACTTGAAGCCGTCCACGCAGATCCGCCCGTACCAGGAAAAGTCCTTGGCCAAGATGTTCGGCAACGGCCGCGCGCGCCTGGGCGTGATTGTGTTGCCGTGCGGCGCCGGCAAGACCTTGGTGGGCATCACCGCCGCGTGCACCATCAAGAAGTCCGTGATCGTGCTCTGCACGTCCTCGGTGTCCGTCATGCAGTGGCGCCAGCAGTTCCTCCAGTGGTGCACCATCCAGCCCGAGAACGTGGCCGTGTTCACCTCCGAAAACAAGGAGATGTTCTCCAGCCAGGCCGGCTTGGTGGTCTCCACCTACTCCATGGTGGCCAACACGCGCAACCGCTCCCACGACTCGCAGAAGGTCATGGACTTCTTGACCGGCCGCGAGTGGGGCTTCATCATCTTGGACGAGGTGCACGTGGTGCCCGCCGCCATGTTCCGCAGGGTCGTCAGCACCATTGCCGCACACGCCAAGCTCGGCCTCACCGCCACCTTGGTGCGCGAGGACGAGAAGATCTACGACTTGAACTTCTTGATCGGGCCCAAGCTCTACGAGGCAAACTGGATGGAGCTAGCCCAGAAGGGCCACATTGCCAACGTCCAGTGCGCCGAGGTCTGGTGCCCGATGACCGCAGAGTTCTACCAGGAGTACTTGCGCGAGACCGCGCGGAAGCGAATGCTCTTGTACATCATGAACCCCACCAAGTTCCAGGCCTGCCAGTTCTTGATCCACTATCACGAGAAGAGGGGCGACAAGATCATCGTGTTCAGTGACAACGTCTACGCGTTGCAGGAATACGCCTTGAAGTTGGGCAAGCCGTTCATCTACGGCCTGACCCCGCAGCAGGAGCGCATGACCATCTTGCAGAACTTCCAGCACAACGACCAGGTCAACACCATCTTCTTGTCCAAGGTCGGTGACACGTCCATCGACTTGCCGGAGGCAACGTGCTTGATCCAGATCTCCTCCCATTACGGCTCCAGAAGACAAGAGGCCCAACGCTTGGGCCGCATCTTGCGTGCGAAAAGACGTAACGACGAGGGCTTCAACGCTTTCTTCTACTCGTTGGTCTCAAAGGACACCCAGGAGATGTACTACTCCACCAAAAGGCAGGCATTTTTGGTTGATCAAGGTTACGCCTTCAAGGTGATCACCCACCTCAGTGGCATGGAGCAGTTGCCGGACCTCGCATACGCCTCGGCAAGAGAGCGGAGAGAGCTTCTCCAGCAGGTTCTCTTGAAGAATGAAGATGCCGCGGGCGTGGAAGTCGGTGACGATGAGGGCACCAATTTCATGGGAAGAAATAGACTCAAGTACGAGGGCAGCAATGCTTCGCGAACCGCAGGCTCGCTCGCCGGTTTGGCCGGTGGCGAAGACATGGCCTACATTGAGTACAGCAAGAACAAAAACAAGGAGCTCAAGGAGCATCACCCCTTGATTCAGAAAATGTACTACAAGAAGAAAAAGTAGCTGGACAGCTATCTTCCGTCGAGAGTACAAATAATGCATATTCAATGACGCATCGCGGGCGCTCATACACGAGGTTAAACAATACATACCTAGTCATACGAAGACCCCACAAAGCTACCAAACTCGTCATCGTCTTCCTCCGCGAGTATGGACGCGGACCGCGATCCTGAGCTGGGCAACGTCAAGGACGTCAGCATCGTGAGCTCAAGCGCAGACAACTTGCTGTCGTACAAGAACTTCTCCTGGAAGTTTCGGAAGTGCCTCCGATATATCTCCAAGCTCTCGGAAAATGACGACGCGTTGTACGGATCGTCAAATTGTAGCCCAAGCGCTACCTGGAGCAAGAATCCTTTTTCCGAGTTGTGTATCGGGCTGTACCCAGTGTCGGGCAACTGAGAGATGATCTGATAGTATTTGGACGACTCCGGTGTCATCTCTATGGTGTCGGATCCATCGTTTGCCACTCTATATTCCAAATCTGTTTCCAGAAAGGGGTTGTACCACACCTCGGCCCACGGCACCACGTCTTCGGGGGCTCGAAACGGACTTGGATCCGTCTCTGCTGATTTCCTGTTATATAGCTCTAACTTGAGACGGAGCCCCATGTACAGAGCCGATTCCGGCGACACGGCAGTCTGCTCCTCCTCTGTGAGGCGCATAGATCCTTTCCATACGATACTTTTTTGGGGCCAGTTTGCAAGAGACACGGGGCCCGGGGGGATCTTGAAAACGGACACGCCATGGCACTCGAAGTGCACGTTTGATATCAACATCAAGAGAAGAGGGGCAGAAACACACACGTGAATGGGATTTGGATAGGCGGTCTAGTGCTGCTGCAAATGAAACAGCCTGGAGCTGTCTCTTAAACTACGAGTAGATCGGTTTATAGATAGTTCAGCCTTAGTGGATAGGCCTAGTCTATCTGTCGTATTCTCGATGTCTAAAAAGTGTTATCCTTCTTCAGGGATGTCTCAGCCTCACGCTCCTTTATAGTTCGGAACCCTTCTATACAGTAGGTGAGGGGTAACCCCGATCAGGAATGTTTAGACTCTTCGTCCTTCGTATTATACAGGATGCCCAGAATCTATAATCTGGCTCATGTCGTATCATAACATTATCTCCCCAAAATTAGAATGTTCGTCCTCGAACATTTAGTTATCATGGAT